GAGTTTGAGGCCAGCCTGGGCTACCAAGTGAGTTCCAGGAAAGGCGCAAAGCTACACAGAGAAACCCTGTCTCGAAAAACCAAAAAATAAATAAATAAATAAATAAATAATAAATAAATATAGTGTATCCCAATAGCCCAAGTAAAATATCAGAAATACAATTCAGTCTTGGGTGCCAGTCCAGGTTTGAATCCCATCTCTGTTAATTATACTTAAATTTGCCTATTTGTAAAACGGGAATGTAATATTCACAGGATTACAGTAAAAATAAGATGTAACCAAAAGTAAAATGCTTATAACAAAACATTCACAGTTAATTGCTTACTAAATGTTAAATACCATCATATTATCATAAATCTGTATCCATGCACTGCTTAGAGAAAAAGGAAGCATTTGAGAAATAACCCGAGGCACAAATGATGGTATCCCTGACGTTCAATTTCTCTTTTGTCTTTACATCTGTGACATTAGTGATGCAGTATACAGTGTTGTTTTCCAGTTCCAGTATCCTTCCACACTGAAAACATAATGATACCATGACCATAAATTTTAAGACCACAAAAACGGTGGCTGAAGAGATGGCTCAGTATTTAAAATTGCTGACTCTTCTTGAGAGGATCTCCATTCAGTTCCCAGCACCTGACAGCTACCAACTGTCTGTAACTCCAATTCCAGGGTATTTGAAGTCCTCTCCTGGCCTCTGTAGGCAACTGTAGCATGCAGTGCACATAAACTCATGCAAGCATGCACACACATGCACACACGCACACACATTAAAAACAATTAAAATGGATTAATGTAATTCTAGATACTATTAATTCACTATTATTTCACTATTGGGCTTTGTAGATGGTCTCTGACTTAACAGTTTGACGTAAAGCTTTTTGAATTATAATGGAAAGTGACATGCATTCAGCCCAAATCATGTTTGGAAATCTGAGTTTTTCACAGTTAAGGAATGTGTGGTAAGACCCTCTAATGACACTTGGCACTAGCCCCAAGCCTCCTCTCATAGTCAGCCATGAGGTCATCTATACAGGCAGCCAATACTGTGCACAATTCACGGTTTTGCTCAGCTATGCTGTCCAGTAGGTTAAGGGTCATACATGCACTTTCAACTTCTGATATTTTTAACTTATGAAAGATTTATCCAGACTTAATTCTTTCGTGAGCCAAGGAGCATCAGTATTTACAAATAAAAAGAAACATCAATTATGAGGAAAAGTAAAATTAAAGAAAATGATTACTGTTTGGTCAATACTGATACATTAGTGTACACATAATGTCTAGTTAAATCTGACTTTTCATTTATCAAAGCTGAAGATACAGAAACTTAGCAGCAAATGGCATTATAACATCCATGGTTTGTTTTGCCAAGATATTTTAATGCAATAAAGTCATCTTTGGCAAGGGTTCTAGAAGGAGAAAGAACTGGGAATTCATGTATTGATCTTACAATCGGGAATAATTTGATGATATGAGATTATATGGTGAAACCCACCAGAGACTGTACCATCAACTTTATACAGTTGTGTGTTGATAAGAAAGGACAGAGCTGTCCAATTCCTCCCTTGTTAACAAAAATGTCCACTATTGGGATTAATTCTCAGTGTTGCTGCTTTCCTAGTTTTCCAAGCTCCTAGATCACAAATAGTTCCACCATCTCTAGGTAGCATCTGGCTTCAGCGAGGAATAGCCAATTGTGGGTGGACTCTCTGGGCAATGACACATAGATCCCTGTTTGCTTTTCAAACTGGGTCTCACTACGAAGCTCTGGCTGGCCTGGAACACACTATATAGACCAGATGGGCCTCTATCTCATAAAGAACTGCCTGCCTCTGCCTCCTGAGTGCTGAGATTACAGGCGTGCACCACAGGCCTGGCTAGGGAACATTTACTATCACAAAGATACATTTCAAAGTGAAAATCATTCACTGACAATGTCTACAATTATTCTAGATGACACAAATGTAATGATTTCGTCTGGACAAGCGGAACTGTAGTCACATGACAGACAAAGCAGTTGTTTCCAAGAACAGGAATTGTGATAATTCAGCATGGCACTTGTGCTTTTAAAAATACATTTTGGATAGTTCTATTCTGTATTTACTACTGCTGTGATAAACGTACCTCTCAATACACTGGCTGATAAAAATCATATTCCTTTTGTTTTCAATACCACACATGGCAGTGCATAATCCGGCCACTTCTGATGCCAAGGACAGTAGAGCTGACGTGAATTACAAAAGCCTGAACTCATTCACTACTTTGAATTAATGCATATGCAGACTTTCTCAGCAAGTGTCAGAGCATCTGGTAAACGCAGACTATATGAGAGGCTTTGGGCAAGGCTTCAATAAGGCAACCTGAATGTCCCTTTTCTCATCTCTAGTCTTCTAGGCCATCTCCTTCCCCAGCTGACAATAACCTCACTGACCCAGCCTTTTGGAGGAGGTTCAGGAAAGTATTCCGACATGCCTGGTAATAAAACCCTGGATGTTCCACTAAGGAATCCAACTTGGAAACATTATCTTGGGCTAAGCATAGGAAACTCATTGTGTTCCCCATGGCTTAGTGATATGCTCCACTCAGTTCAAGAGTCAGTTTTTACTCTGCTAGATCCTTTTTAACTATGTTTGGTCAACCTCCAAAGCCTAATACAATTGAAAGAGGAAAACAATGGGGACTGGAGACCTGGTAACTCAATGGGGGCAAAACATCTGCCACTTGTGCAAGAGGACCTAAGTTTATATGCCCAGAACTTATGAAAAAGGCAGACCCAGGAGTGCCTGTATCTGTCCTCCCAAAGCTCCTACTGAGAAACTGCAGGTGGAGACAGGAGCATCCCTGAAGCCTGAAGACCACCTGGCCTGGTGTACACAAAAACCAACAAGAGACCCAGCCTTGGACAGGATGGAAGGCTGACAACCTAAGGCTGTCCTTTGGCCCTCACATGCACACTACGGTACACACATGCTCACACTCATACATACACACAAATGGTTTTGGTTTTTTGTTTTTGTTTTTTGTTTTTTGAAAATGTTTTCAAAGAAGAAAAAAAAATGTAAAGAGAAACCAGACAACCCATAAAGGTAAGTCATGGCCACAATCAGTTGCCTGTCTGAGCTGTATCCAGCAGGTGACATCATCTATGCCCTCATAGCTTTTGGCAGAATGTTCGTTTCCCATTATTTTCCTGTATTTTCAATACACACTAAGATTCTATTGTTTTCTTTCTATATACATTTTGTAAACATGTCATGAGCGTTTGGTTCTGCCCTGTGACTTGTTCAAGCTCCTTAATGGTTTGGGACTCACTGGATTCTCCCTAAAGTAAAATAGGGGCATGCTTTTTTTTTTTCTTTTAAGATTTATTTATTTATTATGTATACAGCATGTATGATTGCTGGCCAGAAGAGGGCACCAGATCTCATTACAGATGGCTATAAGCCACCATGTGGTTGCTGGGAATTGAACTCACGACCTCTGGAAGAACAGTCAGTGCTCTTAACCTCTGAGCCATCTCTCTAGCCCCAGGGACCTGCTTTATTGAGTAAAATTAACTACACCACACCAAACCGAGGATGTACCATCTTGCCCTTTTCACTATTTTACAGGGGTCTTCCTTTCACCTCAACAACGGCCTCCAATGGTGACGTCTACCATGGCTTTCTCCAGCCTCCTCTTGGTTTCCCTCCTCCCCACTCAGATGAGACTTCACTGTCTATCATTTCAGCAGTCTCATTAGCAATCTCCCCTCCCTTATCCTGATGCCTTTTAGTCTATTCTGAACGGTCAAAATCTACCTATGAAGGCACAGAAGTCTAGTTTCTTAAGGTCTTCACCCAACTCATATACAGCTGCTGAAGAAAATAAAACGTAAGTAAGCAAAATTGATCTCATCATAAGTCACAGAATGGAGTCAGAGAGTGTCATTAATCTATACTGAACCGCCCCTGCTTCTACCAGAGACTCATATAATTCTCCAGGTAGTTCAACTTCCTATATTCTATTCTCCTCAACTTCAGATTCCCTCATTCATAAAAATTAATCTTACCTTTCACTAAGAATATAAAATCAGCAGACAGCATCCTCAATTTCCAGACACCAAATCTCTAAGGCTATCTTTGGCTAATGCCCATCTCCTTTTAGTCAGCTTGCATTGAAAAGGCTATCACATCACTTATGCCCCAAAACTCTCTTCAACTAAAATGCACTTGGATGACTAATTATTCCCCCTCTTTCCTGGATGCTCAACACTCCCCCTATTGGCTCCCTCACATGAGCATGGCAACAGGCTCACATACAGCTACAACAGGAGGAAGAGTCTCTCCTACCCCCTGGACCTCCTGGACCTCGTGGACCCTGTCTTCTTTTCCTTAACTTTGAAAAAATATCTGTCATGTTTATTTTATGTGTAGGGGTGTTTAGCCTGTATGTATTTCTATGTGCTGTGTGCAGGCAATACCTGAGGAGGCCAGAAGAGGGTGTTGGATCCCCTGGAACTGGAGTTAGAGACAGCTGTTAGGTATCATGTGGTGCTGGAAACTGAACCTGGGTCACTGCTGAGCCACCTCTCCAGCACCAGCATGCCATCCTCTTCTTGACAATCAACTGTCTAGGAAGTTTCTACTTGTACTCCATCTCTGACCCAATGTTAGAGCTTCCACTTGGGCCATTCTCCCAGTGAGTTCTCGCTAAGAACAGTCACGTGACAGATGTCTCCCTGCTGCCGTCCCGTGTCAGGAGCTGGTTCAGCTGACTGTTCCTCCACTCCCCCTGGCTTCTGAGGACGCACACCCTGGAGTCTTCCTTCCATCCCATGATGCTGCCATCCTCCTCCTCCCGTCCCAGTACCCCTGACCCTCTGATTCCTTTCTTTTATAATTCTGAACTGCTGGGTTTCTCATTCAGCACTCTCACCGGTGACCTCATCTACTCCATGGCTCACCTTACATCTTACACCTCCAAACTCACTTCTCTAATCCACCCTCTTTCATCCGAACTCCAGGTTCATGTAATCGGTCACCTATCTACAACCGAGTGATGATACCGCTCTTCCCAACCTTGCCCAACAATGCCAATCGCAGGAAATTCCATCCCCATGTTTGGGTCAGAACCCTAGACAACACAGTCTTCTTGCTTTTCCCTGAGAGCCAATTAATCAACTCATTCTGTCAAGTCTTCCTCCTAAATATCACCAGAATCCATCTTTTCCCCTCTATTCTGATTGCAGCCAACCTAAAACAAACCATTATCATCCTGATCCTACAACACCAAAATTCTTAGCCTACTGTAGGGCACAGTCCAGTCTCCATTACACAGCAAGAACAGAATGGGAAAAGAACAATTCAGATAGTGTTACCTCCCTGTAAATGGCTCCTCATAGCTTAGAGAATAAAGCCTAAGGTCTAAACATCTATGACGTCCACATGATCTGCCACCTGGCTGACTGCTCAGTCACACCTTGCTCTTCACTGTCTGCACTCCCATTTTCTCCCAGGTTTAGCCACATAATAACTGCTTCTTTAAGCATACCATACTTCTCATTTAGGGCCCTTCCATATTTTCTCCTCCGCATATGCTGATGCTGCGCTATTCTACACACTAAATCCCATTCTGCGTATCACACCTTAAGTACTATTTTTCAGGAAACTAGTTTCTGAATGTCTAGATTGTGACAGGTCCTGTGTTACACAGTCCTTATGTTACCCTAATGCCTTTCTTTTCTATTTGTTGTCTACTGAGAATCAACCCCAGGGCCTTTTAAATGCTACACAGTGCTTTACCACTGAGTTATATTCTCAACCTTCTATGCCTTTCTAGCTCTTATCTTGTCTGTGAATAGCTATTGTTCATTGACCCTTGTTAGTTATCAGCTTCACAATGACAAAGGCTTGCCCTTGTCTTATTCCCACATGCCCGCAGCACGCTGCCTGGTACCTTTTATATAACCGTTTCTGTAAGCTTTTGCTGAATGAGTAAATTGAAGACCGCAATGACAGCAGCGGATCTTGGAAGCCACCAACCGAGCTCTAAGAAACACAGTTCTGAGAGGGCAGGACCACACGAGCCAAGTCCTGGGCGAGGAAGTAAGTGTTCATCAAAAGAGCTCTTAGAATGCAAAACAAAAACAAATAAATAAAAGGGGATAACTACTGAAACTTAAACACTGAAACTTACGACCCACCAAACACATTTTTGTTTTGTTTTGTTTTGTTTTGTTTTGTTTTGTTTTGTTTTGGTCCAGTTTGGTCTTTTGGTAAAGACACTTTAAAGCTCCCAGAGTAACACAGAGACCTGACATAGCTGTATACTTACACAAAGGCTAGGAACAAGGCTAGACAGATTGACGTGTCGTGGGGCAAACATGTGAAGCTGCTGAAGGCAAGAGATGGCAGCTGCCTGAACGAGAGAGTCGGAATGGTCCTGGGTGATGGCACAACCCACCAGACAGGAGGAGCGGATGGTGGAAATGGTCGCTGCATTTCCTAACAGGAAAGTAAAAGACGATGTGAAACACAACTGTGTTATTAGTATCACGAAAACACTCCTAGAGGGTAATCATCTTCTAGATAACCCCTTCTCCCAATCATTATTCAGATTGCTTAAATAATCTGAAGAGTCCCAATCATGACTTCAAAACACAACTGTATTTATAAGGCAATAATTCATGTTTTAGAAACTTACTCCTTTAAAAAGTCATACTCTCCTTTATAACCACCGATTTTCTGCTAAATAACCAGAGGATTCCTCATTCTGTGGTTCTCGGCTCAACAAACACTACACTTTCATTTATTTTAAATACTGTTTGCATAATAAGAAAAATCTTTTAGAGGTAATTAAGGAAAAATGTTATATATTTTCTGTATAGCAGTTTAATTACCAAATATAGGTATCTGAAATTTTCTTCTAATGTGAAGTAAAATAATTTTATGTACATATACCAGTCAAGGAAATCACATAATCATGTACAAAAGCAACATCTTGGAGAAGTTCACAGTCCCTCTCTACTTTCATGTTCTGTCTGTAAAATGGAGGCAATACATATTGCTGGACTGTGCCGTCATTAAGTGATAAAAATACAAAGTTGGCCTTCTCCTGAGGATTAGTTAATAAATAAAGAAGGGAAGGGGGAAGGCCTGAGTGTAGACACTCTGGATACACTCACAATGACTCACTGAATTCACCATCAGGAAGATCGTCTGCGAGTGTTACAAAGGCCCCAATTCTAACTACAGCAGCCCCGCACAAAGGGTCGTCTCTGAACTAGCTGCCTCAGAGACATCATGTCAGGGGTCTTAGAGTCAAAAAAGTACAGCCCATGAAGACAGTAGTCAGCATTCAGGATAAATGAAAACTTCATTTTCAACTTTGTTTCCACAGACGTCCAAGCAGAACTACATTTAAAATGTTTTCTCTGCTCAGGACTTTAAGAATCAACTCATCAGGGCTCTTAGGGGCTCATAGAGATTGAAGCAACAATCACGGTGCTTATGTGGCTCTGACCTAGGTCTTCTGAACATATGTTATGGCTGTGTAACCTGGCTTTTTTTTTTTTTTTTTTTTTTTTTCTTTTTTTTTTTTTTTTTTTTTTTTTTTTTTTGGAAAAGGGTTTTTCTGGGTGGCTTTGCGCCTTTCCTGGAACTCATTCTATAGCCCAGGCTGGCCTTGAACTCACAGAGATCCACCTGCCTCTGCCTCCCGAGTGCTGGGATTAAAGGCGTGGGCTACCCGCCCAGCTTAGCCTGGTATTCTTATGGGACTCCTAACAGTGGGAGTGGGGGATCTCTGACTCCTGCCTGATTTTGGAACCCTTTCTTTCTACTAGGCTACCTCAGCCAGCCTCAATATGAGGGCATGTGCCTAGCCTTTTTTTAGTTTTTCAAGACAGAGTTTCTCTGTGTAACAGTCCTGGCTGTCCTGGAACTCACTCTGTAGACCAGGATGGCCTCGAACTCACAGAGATCTGCCTGGCTCTGCCTCCGAAGTGCTGCTGGGATTAAAGGCACGTGCCACCACCACCCGGTGTGCCTGGTCTTATTGTGTTTTGTTATGCCACCTTTGGTTGGTTTCCCTGGGAGACCTGCTCTTTTCTAAAGAGAAATAAAGGAGGAATGAAAATGGGGGAGTGAGGAGATGGGGGGATGGACTGGGAGGAGAGGAGGGAGAAGAAATTGAGTCGGGATATAATGTATGAGAGGAGAATAAAAAAAAAAAAGCTGTCCTGAGACAGCAATGGTGCTGCACACCTTTAATCCAGCACTCCAGAGGCGGTGAGTTAACGGCCAGCATTTCTACATAGAAGGTTCTAGGCCAGCTAGAATTGCATAGTGAAGCCCTGACACAAAAAAGAAAACTGTTGTGGTTTGTTTGTGCATTTTAAAAATGGCACACATCAAACACTGAGTGCCAGGTTTTGGAAAACACAAATATACAGTGGATGACAATTATTAAAATGGTTTTGCAAGCAACATGATGGCAACATTGAGGAAACTGAGGGATGGTAACTGCCCGCGTGCTTTCTTTAGCTTACCTTGCAGTTCTGGTCCAACCGTAGTTATGATGGCACCCAAGCACCGGCCCAGACACTGGTGGACTTCCGTGTGTGAGGGCGGAACCGTCAACAGCAGGGTGAGAACTAGAGACAGTGTGGGTTCCACGTAGCCACGGTACATTGGGCCACTAGAATCGACTATCAGGGCAAGTGAATGAAGAGACCACGTCTACAATAAAACGTAACTTTACTTTAGTTGTGAGGAGCAGTTACACTGCACTGAATTGAGTGTGCTAAACAGTTATGCTCGTGTGAATATCTTTAAATACGTTTTGAGACAAAGTCTTGCTATAACCTGGGGTGCCCCTGAAGGTGTGACCCTCATGCCTTAGCCTTCCGACTGCTGTCATGTGGCACCATGTGTACACTCTTAGATGTGGATACTCTTAAAGTTTCACTGCAGCTATATTTGCTTAAGTATAAGATGTTTGAGAAACAACAAAGGTTAAAAAAAAATACTCAAGGAATAAATATGATTCAGTGACCCTAGGACCTGGGCTGTGGTAAAAGTGGAAGTCAGAGGGAAAATGAGGCTATTCAGACAGCAACCAACCTAATAATGAAAGGAAATGCAAAAACCAAGAAACAATAAACAATACAATGTGCTTGAAACTATATTCATGGATTATGAAAATTGCAGGTAAATGCATGGTGCTGGAAACAACCATTCTAAGTGCTACGCAGACCCAGAAAGACAGTGCTGTGTTTTCTCTCACTTATAGAAGTTAGCTTTGACGTCTCAGATACATGTGTTTTTGGAATATTCATAGAGGTCAATGAATTACTAAGGGGTTAAGTAGAGGGACTTTCAAGGGAGGGGAGATAGAATGCCCTAGGCTAAAGAGTTAAAAGAGAACAATGGAACAGGAAGGTTAAACTGGGTTGGGGAATGGAAGGCAGAGTAGAGGAGGGAATATGGGGAGAGATAAACAACACTAAAGACCTTTCAAAAGACATACGGGGCTGGGGAGATGGCTCAGCGGTTAAGAGCACTGGCTGCTCTTCCAGAGGATCTGGGTTCAAATCCCAACACCCGCATGGCCACTCACAACTTTGTGTGACTCCAATTCCAGTGAATCTTTTACCTTTATACCGACATACATGCAGGCAAAACACCAATGCACATAAAAATAAATAAAATCTTAAAAAAAGAAAAGATATATGGAAACCTACTAGTGGAGAAGGTGCCATATATAGGTGTACGTACTCACACACAGACACACAGCACTAAAATGGAGTTACCTATAACAGTGCAACAACGATCCTACTAGACAAGAGGCTAAAACATAAAAGCCCAATGACAAGTATGAGTTACTTCTTTTGGAGTCATTAGTCATTGAGGTCCCATAGGTTCCCCCCACCCCAAAAATCACAGGTGTTTGCCATTGCTCCTGGTTACCCTCTAGAACTTGAAAGTAAGGTGTTATTGCTGAAGATACTGCATGCTTGAGTCATAGAACAGGGCGAAATTACACTGGTATGGACCTAGAAGCTTCATCACTACTGGCTAGCTTTCACAGTCCTTGAAGGTTCTACCGGAAGAGCAAAATACTCATCCGTCACACCCAGGTATGAATGCTGCGAGCTACAAGAATGCCTGGCCTGGGAAGACATACCCACTGGTGGAACAGTGGCATGAACATCACAGGAGTAACCAACTCTTTCTAACTGGATTTAAATCCTATTCCACAAGACCTGCCACCATTGTCAGGCTAGGAACCCATGGGTGGATGGGTCATAAGCTGTAGGGATATCTACTACTATTGTGGGGCTAAATGATCATAGAATTAAACTGACTCTTAATGATCTATCATTGTATCTATAGATCAGTGGACGGTGATTAACACGGTAACCCACAAACTGGCCAAAGTGCAGAAAATAAAATCTCTCATCCCTGAAGGGAGTGTACAGACAGCCAACCCCCAAAGCTTAGGGGTCACTGTGGAAGAGGAGGCGGAAAAAGAGTAAGAGCCCAAGGGACCGTTTCCTTCCAGACACAGCAGGGAAGCTGCAGATACAACTCAGCAGTTTCAACAGCATGGACGAGCCAGAAAGGAGGACAGGCTGGGTACACTAACCCACCGCGAGCCATCGAGATGTTGGCAATTGCTGCTGCAGGCAAAGGGAGAGACAGTTTCCTCGAAGAGTGCAGCCCCGGTAAGCTGACCACCCTCCAACAGAAGATCACACGTCAAAGAATATTTGGGAAGTGCAAATTGGTCTTGGTCTTGAAGGATTAAAAAAAAAAAAAAAAAAAAAAACCAAGAAAGTCGGGTGGTAGAGAAGAGGGTAGTGAATTGGGAAAGAGTTAGGAGAGCGTGAATATGGTCAAAATACATTGTATGAAATTCTCAAAGAACTAATAAAAATGCTACATCTATATATACACACATATATGTACACACACACACACACACACACACACACACACACACACGAATAGGTTTAACTCCCAGGAAAAGGTAGACTTTGAAGATTATGTTAAAAAGCAAAACTCTTGCTAATGGTCTATCACAAGTAAACTCCTGAAATATCAAAGAAAGAGCATAATGCATGTTTCCTGACAACTTATCAGCATAGATACTATTTAAAAATTTTGTGTTGGGGGGCTAGAGAGATGGCTCAGAGGTTAAGAACACTCCCTGCTCTTCCAGAGGTCTTGAGTTCAATTCCCAGCAACCACATGGTGGCTCACAATTATTTACAATGAGATTTGGTGCCCTCTTCTGGTATACAGGAATACATGCAGGCAGAACACTGCATACACGATAGATAGATAGATAGATAGATAGATAGATAGATAGATAGATAGATAGATAGATAGATAGATAGATAGATAGATCTTTTTAAAAAATTGTTTTTGTGTCGAGTACAAGTACAGCTGTAATCCTAGCACCCAGGAGGCTGCAGCAGGTGAATAGCAAGTTGAGGTCAGTGTGGGCAGAACAGAGAGACTGTCTTAAAAGCAAGTGTAGAGAAAGACTTCAATACTGTCTACCTGAACTTCAGGGGACGTCCCATCTTGAGCCAGAGCCAACAGGATGCTGACACTGGTCTTCAGGTGCTGTCCTGATCCTATGCCACCAACGTAACGATGCAAACAGCCAAGGGCCAGTGAATGGCCAGTCCTGGATACCACATCTCGAGCCGACTTCAACCTGAGAAAAGATGATGCAACAGGAATTGGGTACTCCATTTCCTCTAGTAACAGCCTTATGAATCACACATGCACAAAAGAAAAACACTCTGGAGAGTAATAAAATAACAGTCCTTATAACTGACTTTGAACATAAAATTTAAAAAGTATTTGTGGGACTGAGGCTCAGTGACAGAGAAAATGCTTAGTGTGTACAAAATCCTAGGTTCAATCCCTAGTACCAAGAAAAAGAACCTGCATCCCGAGAATGCACAACATAGTTCTTATTTGACTTAAGAAATTTCCTGTATTTTGTTTTGTTTTTTTTTGTTTTGTTTTGTGCTGGCAACTAAATCCTGGGCCTTGTGTATACTAAGCAAGCACTCTATCACTGAGCTATAATCACAATCAAAGTCTCTATAAAATGGGCAAATTTCTACATATATTACATATATGTATATAAAAGACTTATTTTATTCATGTATAGGTGAATTATATGTGGTGACCCACAGAGACCAGCAGAGGGCACTGGATCTCCAGATGTGGAGTTCAGGTAGTTGTAAGTGCCTGATGTGGGTGCTGAGAATTGAACTTGGGTCTTCTCAAAAAGCAGCAAGTGCTCTTAATTGCTGAAACATTTCTCCAGCCCCTAAGATATATTTTTAACAAATTTTCAAAGTAAAGGAAATACTGCATATAAATTTTAAAACAGTTTACACTGAGATGTACTTATGTAAAACTCATCAATTGCCCAGGCTAGCCTCAAACTCACAACAATCCTGCCTTAGCCTTCCAAACATTGGTATTACGGGTATGAGCCATCACATCTGGCTTTAAAACTCACCAATTTAAAGTGTCACGTACACAGTGATTATTGGACACTGTATGTAGCCATCACATAAACACAACATTGAACAGAAATGTTCAATTGAAATATATCACACCCATAATTTCTAATATACTTGTCCCAAAAGAAGAGAAAAATAACAGAAACTAAGTTTAACAAGGTACCAGCAACATATTAAAATACCATGGTGCAATTAACAAATTACTGAGATATTTTACACTGTTTTTCACACTAAGTCTTAAAATCTGATGTGAAACAAATACTTAACAGTATTCTTCAGTTTGAAGACATATTTCAGTAACCAAAGCAACTATACTGAGCAAAAACTCGGTTTCCTAATCATGGACATAGTGTAGCCTGTCTTCATGTTCCTGCCACCACGTCCCTTCTGGAGAGGACACAAACCTCAAACTGTAAGCCAAAACATCCCCCCTCCCTCCTTCCCTCCCTCCCTCCCTCCCTCCCTCCCCTAAGGGGCTTTGTTGGGGATAAAGTGAAAGATAGTGATGTCAGAATGCATCATTGTGATGTTACAGTGCAGTATAGTGATGTCAGAATGCAATATTATGATGTTACACTGCAGTATAGTGATGTCAGAATGCAATATTATGATGTTACACTGCTGTATAGTGATGTCAGAATGCATCATTATGATGTTACACTGAACTATAGTGGTGACAGAATGCATGTTTATGATGTTACTATGCAATATTGTGACGTCAGAATGCATCATTATGATGTTACAGTAAAGTACTGTTATGTCAAAATGCATCATTATGATGTTACTGTGTAGTATTTGATGTCAGAATGTATCACCATTTGTATGTGAGAACAAGGAAAGCTAGTCTCTAAGAGTTCAGAAAATACTTTTAATTTTTTCTCTCTTCTTAATGATTATGATATGAATCAATACATTTATTGTTCAAAAAACATTAGCTAAGAATGATAATTTATATGACTCGTGTTATTTCTTGGCCTTTTGATTTTTCAGCTTCTCTATTTGAGCACCCACTTAACAACATTTAAAAACCAAGTTTCTCAGGGCTGGAGAGATGGCTCAGAGGTTAAGAGCACTGACTGCTCTTCCAGAGGTTCTGAGTTCAATTTCCAGCAACCACATGGTGGCTCACAACCATCCATAATTCAATATGATGCCCTCTTCTGGCCTGTAGGCATGCATGCAGACATAATAAATATATACAATAATTAAATAGATAAAATAAATTTAAAAAAAAACACGTTTCTCATCTTAGTCATGCTTGTTTGGACCTCTGAGATTATTCTTCATAATTAACATGCACAATTATCTTTAAAACCTGAAGTGTAACTTTATTCCTTTTCTCCTCTAAAGTGAGATCTTACTCCAGGAAGCAATTAAAGATAGAGAAACTGGGGTAAAGCGAGGCAGAAAGAACAGAGTATGGCTGTGGGTGTCTGTGGGTGATATGATAGGGAAGTCTTGACTGATGTTCTTGATTCCAAAAGCTAGATGAGAAACCAGGTCCCTCTCACATGATCTTAACATTTGACATCTCTCCCAGAATCTAGAGGTCCATAAACCACTGAATTAAAAACCAGAGTATTAAAAACCTGTCACGTGCTGTAAACCATGTGGACAGTAGTAGTCTAGGTAACAATTTCTCACTGCTCAGAAGACGTCTTAGACCGGTGAGAAAGCTCTTAGGAGACACACTTACTTGTCAAAGCTGTACTGGGCCATTCGCGCGATGAAAGACGCCTCCCCCACCACCTGAGCCATTCTTCCCAGGGCTTCCCCTGCTGCGCACCGCAAGATGGGGTTCGGGTTGTCAAGAGCGCCCATCACCAGTGTCAGAGCAGATTTACGGACTTCCTCAGGTCCCAAAGTACTCTTGTTTTCAGCTAAACCCTGTATTGATTTTAAAAGGAATGATATCATTTCATAATTCATGTTGAATGAAGAAAAAGATATGGCGCAATCTTAGGAAATTCGATGTCTTCACACATTACATGTGCTACGTCTGGGGCTGGTACCTGCTAGACGGGCTGTGGTCACTTCCTAAGTGTGACTTCAGAACATGGTAATTAATAATCAGAGTCCCACTGGCCCTAGAAACACAACCCGTGGCAGAAAGAACACCGTAAGGCCAAAAGAACACCGTAAGGTTAAATTGAACATTATTCAGCTGACTAAATGTCAGTACTGTAACGAGTATGAAACTGGTTCATTTGTAGAAAAATTCAGTAAAAAACATGCAGCTCCGAGTTGTGGTCCAGCTACTTAAGAGGATGATGCAGGAGGATTGCAAGTTAAAGGTCTGCCATCTACACAGCGACCTCAAGAGCAGCCTGGGCAACTAGTAAGACCCTACCGCAAGATAAAAATTGAAAAACAGGCTGGAGACAGCGCAGTGGTATGTGCCTAGCATGTATTAGGCCTGGATTCAGTCATCAGTGCCACAAAAAGTAAACAAACAAAACCAAGAACCTTACAATGTGGTATAAGGCGTACAATCAATATATGTGTAAAGACAGATGGGGGGCAGTAACTGAATGCTGACATACATTTGTTTTCTGTTCTAGCTATATCTGCCGCTTTGGACTTTAATTGTCTTACCTGAGAAGAAAAATGTAGGTCATGGTATCAGCAGAAAGTGTTAACTAGAGCAGAGGCACGAGCCACGTCTGTGTAGAAAAGTGCAATCTCTACTGCGATGTTAAAACCCACTGTCCTCCCGACCGCTAAGGGCCACCTGACCACCTCAAAGCTTTTTTAAAATGCTCAGATGTTAGTGCCAGTCCCAAAAGAGGGTGTTTGTAAATATCTACACAAGTACCCCATCCAATGTTACCTCTGTTACCAATGCCTCCTCAACACCATGCTTGCAAAGCATGACTTAAGGAATCCTTGTTTAATCACTTGTATTTTTGTTGTACTGAATTTTATTATTAGAGCACCATTCTATAATAACCCTAGCATTAAACAATATATAAAAGATTGTAAGTAACCCACGAAAGCCTGGATACTATGATTCACAAACACTCCTGAGCTAGGTAGGCACTTGTTACTGTATTTCACAGTGTAGAAACTGAAGTTCAAAAGGTTAAGAGAATAAAGCCAGTTAAGTAGTTAATCCAGAAAATATGCCTCACATTCGGCATTCTTCCATTTCTGAAACGCATCCTCTGCTGATTCAGTTTAAATCACAAATGGAAATTAAGATTTATTTCATAAATCTTCATTAGGAAATCAGATCTCATTAAATAGACATGTCAGAAAATCCCAAAAGAAATTACTGTTGCTTGTAAAATTTGAGGTTCAAATTGAAATGAGAACTTTTAATTCACTAAAATATAAAATAATGATCTAATTATAATAAACTTGATACAAAGTTTCTAGTAAATGTATGACACTAACATAAGATCACTGTTATCAAATGCATATACATAGAAACACAAGCGTGTGATAATCTTGACGTGCCCGGCTTTAAAAACACGTTAACGTCTTTCAGAGTACTTATGATGTCCAGGACTAACTACCTTCAGTGCACTGAGAACAGCAGTGAATATGTTGAGCTGCACGGCCTGCTGGCGCACACCCTTGGCTTGCTTCACACACTCAGCAAAGTGGTCCAGCATTTGTAACCTACAGTAATAGGATAAGATCACAAATTAGTGGTTTTTAATTTAAGTATGGCTTATAAGGATATAAACTAATTGTTTATGCCCCCAGATTGTGTCCTTTTTATTCCCATAGCTGATTGAAAACCGACTTTTATCTCCTGTATTAACATATACTCATGAAGTTAATTAAACAGAACAAGAAAGGAAACTAAATATTAATTTTCAATTAGTTAAAAGATAACAGTTCATAATTTCAGAAGCCTTGAACATTTACAACAGTGTGTCCAACAAAATTTCTGACTTATAGTATTACAGACGTATCTGATACACTTGGCACTGTGAATGTCTCCCCAGAGGCAGTGACAGGCTGGTGGGAGGCCATTGGTGCACTGGGGACATGTCCTGGGGGAGCAGCGGGACCCTGGCCTCTTCCTTCTTCCTCTCACATTGCTTTCTAACCTGAGGTGAGCAGGGTGGCTCCTCAATGTACTTCCACCATAACATGCTGGCTTACACCAGAGGCACAGCCATGGGGCCATTTGACCACAGAGCAGAGTCTCTGCAGCCTTCAGCTGTGTGTACAGAAACCTCTTTCTATGTTAACTGCTTCAGTTACTTTAAATGACTAATGCAAGGCCCGTGAGTTTCTTCTCTTGGGCTGTCCTTGAACTCTTCCTCCGGCTGCTTCAGCCTCCTGAGTACCAGAGTTGTAGGTATCCCAGGCATATATCACTTCAGCTGTGATCCTCAGTCTTTTTAATAGAACAGAAGACCAATCGTTATCTATTGATTCTGTGGATCATTTTTGATTAGAAAGAAAGAGTGGCATAATTTTACACACTTTGTATGACATAGTATGTATTTATTTTGTGTGGATGTCTGTCTGTAGATGCTCATTGTAGGTGAGCATGTGGACGTCAGAGGCTGGTCTGTGCAAGTCTGCTCTCTCCAACTCTTCCTTTTCTTCTTTATTATTTTGATGTGGGGTCTCTCTATATAACATAGGCTAACCTTAACCTCTGTGCAGTATAGGTCCTGTTTTTTCATTGTTATTTCATCTTGAAAAACCTTACACAGGTTAGGGAGATGGCTTAGCAGTTAAGAGCACCTGTTGCTCATGCAGAGGACTAGTCCCCTGCACCCACATAGTGGCTCACAACCATCAAAAACTCTAGTTCCAGGGATCCAATGCCTTCTTCTGACATACTCTGGCCCCAGGGACTTACATGGTGCATATACAGACATGCAGGAAAAACATACATATACATAAAATAAAAGAAATAAACCTAAAAACTTTTTTTTTTTTTTTGAAAATTTTAAACTGTGTAGCTTTGCACCTTTCCTGGAACTCACTCTGTAGCCCAGGCTGGCCTCGAACTCACAGAGATCTGCCTGGCTCTGCCTCCCGAGTGCTGGTCTTAAAGGCGTGCGCCACCACCGCCCAGCCCCTAAAAACATTTTTAAATACTCTTACATGGAAGAAAATTGTACCCCATATCCTACCCGACCAGAAGCTATTGAAAGATTTCAAGAAAGGTTTAGCTTTGGCCAATTTTGTAAATGTAAAAGTAAAATCAACAACAACAAAAAAACTAACTAAAAGTGAATTTCACAACTAGCTGTGTGGCTTTGGCAAAACACTAGTCTGGGGTTTAAATGTGCTTAGATTTAAAGCAAAGGTGTTAAGTAGATATAATTTATAAGGATTTTTCAGCTTTAATGTTGTTTAACATTTATGTGGTAATCAACTGTACTAAAAGAGATCAAGGTTAGATATGAAAAGCAAGTAATTAAAAGCAATTCATCAAATAACCTACACGTTTAAAGAGATACTCTCTTTTGGATGTAAATGATATTTTAAGGTGTGTTTTGTAAAAGTTAAGAAATCTGAAAGGGTCTTACATTAATTCAGTTTCCCTTCTGGGAAATCACAATTCTACAAACTGCTGCTAGAGTCAGGGATGGGGGCTGTGGATGCAGAACACACAGAACAAGACCCTTCTGCTACAAGAAAAGGACAGCCATGTTGGTTTCCTGGGTTCCAGACTTGCAGCATCTCACCAGCCAGTCCAATAGAGTAGACTTCCCACACGTGGTCTTGTGCAGTAACAGAACAACCAAGAAGATAGCCCTAGCCAGAGACACAGTTTAATTTAGAAACTGTCAACGCACTAAGATGAAAACTCTGTCGGGTAAGACATGGTCCATAAAACAGCAGGTGCTAGGGGCTAGTATACAGAGCTAAATCTTAGTTTCAAGTTATATGGAATTTGCAACCAATTTACTTTATCACGTACATACAAATTATGCCATTAAGTTCATGAGAGCACTGCTTAAGTAAAAACCTATGTTACTGTGGAATTAGCTGGGATGGGAAAAATCTATTCTTAAATATAATTTATATTTGACTAAAATTACTGGCTAACTTTACACTAACCTGTGTTTATAAGAAACATGTGGAAACACAACACCAAAAAGAGCCACAGAGGCATCAATCACTGAGACCCCAAGAGGGAGGGGACCGGGCACGGCTTCGCCAGCAGGTATCCGTAAGTAAATGGAAGAAGGGTCGTGTTCCAGGGCCCCACTTCCGGAAGCGCTGTTCGGCTGGAGCTGCAGAAGAAGAACGTGAAGTTATCCACACTCTCCGTTAGGACATTCACGAAGTGCTGGATATCAAATAAAGCAGTGAGGAATGAAATGTGATCAGGCCTGACAGTTTAAGCAGATGAAAATATAGTTTTGCCATGAAAAAAGGGTCACTATCAGAATCATCTTAAGGAGTCATAAGAAAAGTCATGTTCATTTTAAACACTTTTATACTGCCCACCTTAATGTGTGATCAAAACTGTATCCATTGTAACAAAACCCACAAAAAAGACTTACAGCAGATGTTTTGTTTCGTTTCGTTTCTTTCTTTGTTGTTTTTATTTTTTTTTTATTTTTTTATTTTTTTTTGGTTTTTCGAGACAGGGTTTCTCTGTGTAGCTTTGCGCCTTTCCTGGGACTCACTTGGTAGCCCAGGCTGGCCTCGAACTCACAGAGATCCGCCTGGCTCTGCCTCCCAAGTGCTGGGATTAAAGGCGTGCGCCACCACTGCCCGGCTCTTTGTTGTTTTTAGACAGCATCTCCCTATAGAACCCTGACCGTCCCAGACTCACTATGTAAACCAGGTTGGTCATGGACTCACAAGAGGCCCGCCTGCCTCTGCTCCTCTGTGGCCCTCTCTGCCTCTGGCTCTGCCTCCAGCTCTGAAGGACTGGGATTAAGGGCATTGTGCTACCATGCCTGGTTAAATGTTCTTGCTTTTTTTTTTTCATATATACAAACAATTTATTTAATTCTAAATCTCCAATCTATTCACTCTCATTTCTTCCTAACCTGTTACAAAACTAAATAAAAGAAAAGACTAGCAACCAAAAAGCCAGTTAAATCTGAGTTTTGCCATAGACACAACCAAGTAAATAAATACAAAGGATTCTGAATGAAGATATTTTGCCAAATCCCTTCACTACTGTTGATTTATCCACCTCTAAGATGCTAATAAGTGTCTAAGAGTGCAATGGACGTTACTGTGGCCCAGGGTGTCTTCTTTTTAAATGACAATGTGTCACAGGACCTCTGTTTCAGAGGACTCTAGTAACTGCAGTTCCTGTATGCCTCACTACCTGGTCTTCAATGGACTTGTGATCAGTTTCCTGAAGCCAGGAACCCAGAAGCACGCTGTCATCGTAATGGCAGAGGGACCGGAGCAGCGAGGTAGTTGTGTTGGCCGAGTTGTCCGTCAGAGTGAATTCTGCTACCAGTTCTCTGAGAAGTGCGTTGAAAGACCCTAAGACACAGAACACCAGAGCAGATGACAATAATAACTGTCATGCCCACAAGGAATAGCACTGTGCTTAACAGGAATAAAGGTAGTTTCACCCTTTGTAAACCAGCCATACTATCTTTTGCTTTTCCGTTCTCCTCTCCCTCATCTCCTTCTCCTTTTCTTTCTCTCTTCCTCCTTCTCATTCCCACAAAACAAGGTCTCTCTACAACTGCCCAGGCAGGCCTTAACATCCTGAGCTCAAGTAACCCCGACTTGAGCCAAAAAAGAAACTGAGACCACACTTACATGCTACAATTCTCATTCTAAAATTTATATTAAATAATTTAATACTGACTTCCCCCTGGCAGTTCTAAGGTGCCTAGGGCTTCTTCACAGGTGTTAACTAAGTGTCCTCCCACTAGGCTAGATCTCCCAGTACTTTACCTTTTATTTTAAGGACAGTGCATCACCAAAGCTGGCCTTAAACTCACTCTGTGACCAAACAGGTCGTAAACTTAGGACCCTTGTGTCTCAGCCTCTCAATAGCTAAGATCACAGGCCTACAGCACTAGGTCTGGCATGTACTAGTTTTAATATAGAATAAGGGTATTTTCCTTTTTCTTATGATATAATGCAGTTTAAGTCCAAACTAAAAGTAACATAAAAATGCAACCAGTGAACAGAGCCTTTATTTTAAACATATCATATGCTAATGATACTATTTATTAATTGTCCAATACATGCAAACACTGAATAGCACCCACCAAAGTTCGAGGGCTTAGTTATATTAGAAAGAAATTAGTGGTTTGATATTACTATATATATTTCATTTCTGCCAAGTAAATTCTTATTCTCCCTTCATGGATACCTAAATTACTGGCTGTGTTACAGTGTATATGGAGTAATTGGAAATGATAACTTAAATACAGACTCTGAGTTAATCAGTTGGATCTGAATCCAAACTCTGCCATTTACCAGGTAATATGCAGGCAAATAGTCTCTTGATCTATAGGTGTTTTACCTCTTAAATTGGGCTAGCACCACAACATAATAAATCATAAGGAGCTTGGAAGGGGGGCCAGAATATGATTTAAAACTCAACAAATATGCATGCCTCTATGTGAAGAAAAGCAAAACGGAGATCTTCTTTTGCAAAGCAAGTTTAAGGGGGAGTCCTGCCTGGTCAGAACTCAATACTATGAAGAACCCGAGAGGCACACTGAAGAATTTTTATCAGATACTATACATTTTATTTACCTTCGTAAGTTTTTGGAGGTAATAAAGCCAAAATATCGTAAAGTCTTAACCGGACCATCGCAGCACTAGCTTTCAGATGGGCTCCGTGGGCCTTAATTACAGATGGAATGCTGAAATATGGAAAGTGAAATTGGGATCAGTTAGTGTTAGAACAAGCATTACTTAGGAACAATTAACAAGGTCATTGAGCAATGCATTGCAACACTTCCAAAGTACACTGATAAGTTACAATGTTCTCAGTTTGTTTTGTGATCAATAATAATAAAACTAACAGAAACACTTCAGAATACAATGTGTTTTAAATCACACCATTAATACTACTTTTAAATTAACTTTACAAAATAAAAGTTAGATGCTTTCTGTATGAGTTGAGAAGTACAAAAATTCAAACTACAGTTTTATTTATTAAAATATAAAATAAGGTGTCTGTGAGGATCATGTTTTGAATCATTCAGTACACGCATACATGCTGGGTAGGTGTGGTGGCCCATCTGAAATGCCAGTGCTTGGGAGGCAGACACAGAGGCTAACAAGACTAACAGCATTGGCAAGTCCTGGGTTCAAGAGAGTCCCAGCCTCAATATGTAAAGTAAAGAGTTACTGAGGAAGATATACTACATCAACCTCTGGCTTCCACACATATGTACATGTGAACATGCATACATACATGCACACACCAAATACACGCAGCTAACTTTGTCCAAACTGTTTACTTACTGTGACATCATGGTCATGGCACATTCGATAGGAGTCATTAATTTCCTAATTGCATCCTCAGTTAAGAGCTCAGGACAATGTGCAACAAAGCTCCTCATGGCTAGAGAAAAAATTTTTTAAGATTTAGAGAAATCTTCGTGAGACCAAATAAACTTTAAGCATTATAGAATGATAAAGACATCTACAGTTCTCTAGCCGGGTGGTGGTGATGCACACCTGTAATCCCACCACTCAGGAGGCAGAGGCAGGTGGATCTCTCTGAGTTTGAGGCCAGCCTGTCTACAGAGTGAGTTCCAGGAAGCCAAAGCTACACAGAGAAACCCTGTCTTGAAAAGCAAAAACAAAACAAAACAAAAGACATCTACAGTTCTCAACTATAAAATAGAAGGTTGAGAGGCCAGGAACAACTACAGAGAAAAACCATCAGAAAGAGAATGGAGACTCGAAGCGGAAGGAGGGAGCTACGTTAGGGAGATGCTGAGTACTTCGGATGACTACTAGAAAACAGGTTTAAGGCTGGACAGGAGTAAACAGATGGTCCACAGAGAAACAATTTCTTTCCTTGTCCTTTAGCAAAACCGCCATGACCACGCATGCCTCAGATGTGTGGAAGCACACTAAAACCTCACCAGCCCTGACCCTGAAGTGTCTCTCTCTCCAACTGTGGGGAAGGAAGCCTTTTCTATGCTGGGAGAAACCAGAGCAGAACAGACCCTGAAATCCTCATTCCCAAACGAAATACCACTTGAGCTTTTCCTGGAACTTGCTCACTCCCAGACAAAACCAGTGTATCCACCTTTTTGGAAATGCTGGTGTTTGAACAAATAGTAACATTAGCACAGAATATGATGCCCAAAGAAGTGTTTTTCCTAATGCAAGGAAAGGGTAGCTCCACTCAGTAGATGAGCTTCTGTTCTCTGTGGGATGCTTGATGTGGTGGTTCAACTCTCTTTTGATGGGTGTGATTGCACCTACAGGGAATACAGGAGCAAGGGTCCCAGCTCCTGACTTGACACTGTAACTACACTTCCCAGGTCTTGGCTTCATGTTTCCTACAATAATAGCAATAGTTTAGCTATGGTTGTGATGATAGCTTGCTATTAGTAGCCAACTGGAGTTATTTATAAAGTTTCTGTAATCGAAGAGTCCACATATTGAACAACAGATATTAAAATAAAAATTTAAAGTGATTTTCCATCACTTACAAATATTTTAGTGACAAAAATATCACTAAATAGTAATATAAAAATATTCTGAAAGTGCGATGTTTTCAGTTCTTACCACATAAAGCTCCAGCACGACCTTCCAGAGTTACCTGCCAGGTAAAAGAATCTCCTCGGGCCTTCTCAGCTTCCAGTTCCTTTAAGGAACGTGGGAACACGTTTCGCCACAATAGCAACATCTTAGGTAGATGGTAACGAACAACAGACGGTCCTAAGCGAGAAAATGAAGAACACAATATGCAACTATAAAAACCAAACAAAACACATACAAAAACCAAAGTCAAAGAAAGTGAACTCCACTGGGCATGATGATACAGGCCTGTAATCCCAAGACATAGAATGTGGAGTTAAGGATCCAGAGACAGGGCAAGCATCAGCTACACAGGATTCTGAGGCTAGCTAGGGCTACCATGAGCTCCTGTCTCAAAAAATTGAAAACACCAAAACGAAACAAACAAACCAACATAACAACAACAGCAAAAGAGGAAGAGAGGTCTACTAAGCTTTCCCAACATCTCCTTCATGTCACTCTACTTTTTTTTTTTTTTTTTTTTTTGGACAGGGTTTCTCTGTGTAGCTTTGCGCCCTTTCCTGGAACTCACTTGGTAGCCCAGGCTGGCCTCGAACTCACAGAGATCCGCCTGGCTCTGCCTCCCGAGTGCTGGTATTAAAGGCGTACGTCACCACCGCCCAGCCTCACTCTACTTTTTATGTTTAAAATTATCTCTACTTTCAAAATGTTTTCATCCAGTGGGTAAAATAAGTACAAAGACACAATAAGTTACTTTGAAAGTGATGGTTTTTTAGTGTCCATGTGCACAAGATGCTATTAAAATTGTCCTTGAATACATTCAGAATAGTATGCTCCATATTACCCATAATAATATTTGGTGAGAAATTTTCCATTAACACATGTGACTATGAACACATATACCTACTATCACACATACAAGTACATGCTCCTTCATGGGAAGTGTGAGGTTAGCTACATGGCACATATGTAAATAGCACAATATTTACATTCCTAGGAAATTCATTTAAATGTACCAATAACTTACTTAATATAAACTTCTGGAAAAGAGTTACCACTTTATTTTCTTTAGAAAACAGGTCAACATAAGGCATTGGGGACAGACTTTAAAACTGAGCAACTTCTCAGTATGTGTGCACATACACACACACACACACACACACACACACACACACACACACACACACAGAGGCTGTGGGAACAGGTAAACTAAGAAGCGGCTCTAGCCATCACTGTACCATGTACTTCTGTCCTCTGCACAAGGCTAACCTTGGCACCTAAGATTTCACACGGCACTCAGGAAAGTGGCAGCACCACCAGGCCCACATTAGCAGGACTTCGCCTCTATCAAAACCTCGACTCCGCTCGGGCAGTCCAACTTCCTCCCACAGTCTCGCTCCTTCGATACCGCTAAGCTCATTAAATAGACGATGACTATTCTTTTGGGAAAGGTGAAACTTGAGAAAAGTGTGAACTAACGAAGGAGTTACTAAAAAGAGACATTTACTCCCAAATAATAGATAACACACCTCTATACTTTTAAATTAAATCTGCTTTAGGGCCACTGACAGCCAGAGTTAGCTAAATGCTTATACCTAAAGTCATGAGTGCGCCAAGCAGAAGCCAGCCAGCTTGGGTGCGCTGCAGAGACAGCCTGCTGTTTTGGGCAGCAGTCCGTAACAGGTCTTCAGCAATACTGACTACCATCTGCAAGAGAAGGTGATGGATGAGCATCAGCAAACACATAGCTCGTACACGTTACTGAAAACAGGCTGTCCCTTCCTGCTCTTGCTAGCAGATTTCCAAAGCTACTCTGTTCCGGCACTGGGGGCCCCTGGGGACCCAAAGTGTGCTGGGCAGAGCAATCTCTGGAGCCACACTGCCCAGTTCCATCCTAACCCCACCGCAGACTGGCTTTCCAACATGGGCAACTTACCATCTTTGCCTCAGTTCCCACCTTGATAAAACAGGAGTGTCAACCTCACTTTTGCCACGATTAAGTGTGCTAATACAGGATTAAACTGGTGATAGCCTGGGTAACCGCTTAATAAATTCCATTATTCACTGGTACTATTATCTTATATTCAAGAACTTGTTGAACTGCTGTGGTGCCCCCTTTAAGTTAATCTTAGAGAGTACAGAGACTAGATAGCAAAGATTCAGGGAGAATGAAGGAGAACGTAGCATATGATTAAATGATAAAATAGTATTGAGTAGTGATGGTCAACAAAGGAAAAGCTAACATAAGCCAGGTGGTTTTGGTGAGAATTCAGAAAAGAATTTCATCCTGGGCCTGAAAACAAACAGGCTGAAGTTTAATAGAATGAATACAAAATTTTATTGTAAGAAAGGCCTGAAAGCCGAAATGATATGAGAAAAATTAGGAGGGTTCATCTGAGCAGAACAGAGGGAGTTCAGAATGAAGAGGCAGACCACAGATTATGAGCTCCAATTTTCTGTTAATCAGACAGAAGACTGTACTTTATTCTGAGTATCAGATAGCCCCTTAGGACCACCAAACAGATGTGCAATGGATGAGGAGCATGGAAGACAGGACAGTCCAAGGAGGAAAAACCAATAAGAAACAATCAAATTGCAAAGTTGACAAAGTCTCGATCCTCAAGCAGCAGCTGGACGGCAGTCTACTGTGCCGGAGGAGAGGAGAGCTTCCGACTGAGGCCTGTACCCGCCCAAGTGAAGCTGCAAACATTATCTACTGTGCCGGAGGAGAGGAGAGCTTCAGACTGAGGCCTGTACCTGCCCAAGTGAAGCTGCAAACATTATCTACTGTGCCGGAGGAGAGGAGAGCTGCCGACTGAGGCCTGTACCTGCCCAAGTGAAGCTGCAAACATTATCTACACACACTTAAGAGAATAGGACAGTATTATACACTATGATATGTATATAATACCAAGTATGATAGTAGTATACACTATGTATGTATATATATATGTATATATATAGTATGTATGATAATAGCATATGCTATGTGTATGTATATATATATATATATATTAGTATACTACATAGAATATATACTACGGAGTATGTACTATGATAGTATATACTATGTATGTGTATATATATATAAATATATATTATGTATGATAGTATATTCTATGGATATCTATATAGTAGTATACTACATAAAATATAGACTACAGAGAATGTACTATGATAGTAGTATACACTATGTATATATATGTAGTATGTATGAGAGTATACATATAAATGCTACGTATAAATATATATATATAGTATACTACAGAGAATATATACTACAAAGTATATACTATGATAGTAGTATACACTAGAAAGAAGAGGGGGAATGATAATAGCTTCTTAAAAACAATTTAATTTCTAATTATTATCAAATACTAAATATGGCAATAGAATATTCCCTGCCACTTTTAGACACGCAATGCAATTTTTTAAAACTGAAAAAACATCAGGCACAGTGGCACCTAACTCTAGTCAAGAGGCAGAGACAGGAGGATTGCTTGAACGCTGGAGCTCAAGCAACACTCTCTCTCTCTCTTTTCCTCCCTCCCTCTCTTAAAAAAACAGAAATAAAGGTTCTGAGTTTTAAATGATCATTTTTAGAAATAACTATGTTATTTTTCTAAAATTTCTAAAAGAAATTATAACATGATACTACACACAGATGAAACCTATTATTCCTAGGAGGATTAACTACACAGTTTCAGCTAGGGCTGCTAACTACAGTCTACATTTCCAATCGTCATCGGATTGCCTGGCTCAGCACTAAAGACAGCAGAGTTCCCACAGGAACCGAAGCCCACCTGCCAGCCTGCAGACTTCGGTCATACCTTTCCTTTGGCATGAGGAATTCCCAAAGGACACTGATGCACTCCACCCAACAAAGCGGCCATTGCAAAACTGTATCCACTGACGGCTTCCGGTGAAGTCTTGAGGTTGTTGAGCCGTTCTGCACACCTATCTAGAAACGGTGTCACCTGGAAGGGCAATGCCACAGCCACACAACGCAGACACCAGGCGGCGGCAAGCCGAGCAGCCATGCTTGGGTGAAGGAGCACAGACGTCACAATCTCCAAAAGTCCTAGAAAGGAAAACCTCAAAACGTTACTCCTTCCTGAAGAAAAACGATTTCAGTGTAACGCAATAATTAAAATAGATCATCCCTGTAATTTCCGTTTCCTAGCTTTGCCAAAAAGCACATGTGTAGTTCATAAACAGTAGAGTGCTTTAAAAGAACACATCGTGCAAAGAATATAATTACATCTAGTGAAATATAAAAGTTGACGTTGGAAGTGGTAGCTTCTGCCTATAATCTCAGTACTTGGGAAGCAGAGGAAACTTGAGTTTGAGGACATCCTGTTTTACATAGTGAATTCTATGCCAGTTAAAGCTACATAGATCGTCCTTCAAAAAGTAAATAAATAAAGCTGCTATAAAATCATATGAAAGTCTTTAGCAAATTTTGGTCAATTAGAAACATTTCTCACAGCTGATTCTCTTGAAACTTTTAATATTTAACTCAATACTCATATCACTGTGAAGATTAATTTAAATGAAACCCAATGATCTGCTAGTCACGATAAAAAGTAACTACGAGTTAAATACGGATCACAACTATATTCAGAAAACATCCCAGCAAGACCTGGATGCCGCACCTATGGAAGCTTCCTGAATGAGAGGAGAAGCGGTGGCATTCAGGCTCTGCACCAGGCTCCCGAGCTCCTGGAGGGCGCAGACCATGACGTGCTGGCTTGCCGCGATGTCTGCAGCTCCAGACTTGTTCTCACTGCTTGTGTCGTTCACTACAGCTTCTGAAAACACAATCGGGTATTGATGTGGGTAAAATGAGTTGTGATCGTCTTATATTCTTTTTCATACCATTTGATTCCTTCATGTTAAAAACTATGCAGTCATTGCTTAATGGAAAACTCATGTAACTAAGTACTGACTGAGTCGGCATAAAACTTTTAGGGGCAGGGACATGTGTGAGCCACAGCTCACATGTGGAAGTCACCGAACAACCTGCTGGAATTAGTTCTTTCCTGCCCTATTGTTCTAGGGACTGAACTCAGGTCATCAAGCTAAGTGGCCAGCACCTTTAACTGCTCAGCTATCTTGCCAGCCCTGGACTGACATTAAAACACTGATGCAGAGAGTCACAACAATACTAAAACACATACTGTATATATTTGATGCTTCCAAGAATACAACTTGGGAGGTGCAGGAATCCACAATGTTTTACAAAAGCAGACTCAGATACAGGTATTACCTCAGTAATAAAGCACTTGCCTTGCATGCTTGAGGTACTGGGTTCAATCCCTAACACCACAGAAAACAAACACAAACAAACCACCAACAAAAGCAGATTTGGGGGTAAAAGACTTGGGTTCTAATAGCAACCTCATGTAAGCTCTGTGACAGGGCATGCTACTCGACTTTGCTGCGTCAGGTTCCTCATCTGTTAAGGGACTTCCTTGCTGTCTCAAAGGTGCTTGTGCTGACCACAATGCATATATGGAAGCTAACCCATCCTCTACAGAACACATTCAATGAGCACAAGTAGCTGCAATTGTATATCGTTAGTAGTATTGCCGCTTCAAGTGCTCCGATATACTGAGGCATCACTGTCAAATCACTGACAAGCAGATTCACAGGGGAAGTGAGCTTAGAATTTACTGGAAGGCTCTTCCCTGTTGCCACTTGCTTTCATGTCTCTCCCCCAAACCTTTTAATAGCCGCTGACATTAAAATGTATCATGTGAGACAACTAAACATGCCTTGACAGACTACTAATTGAGAATACATTCTGGCTTGTAAATCCCTGATAGAATCATGTTACTTACTTCAGTAATTAGGGTTCTTAAGGTCAAATAGCTAATCTACAGCCATAAAATTAATACTCTCTCAATGACAGTAAAATGTTCCCAGTTTTTCACTCACTATGAACTGATAATAAAGATGTAAATACATAATGACAGACTATAACTAATCCCTCTTTCTTTGTGGGCATCTCTGGACCAGAAGGTGCAGAAGTTCGTATTTCGGGTACTGTAGCTGGCTTGCCAGTTCATGCCAACCACTTAACACAGGCTGCTGGCACTGACTTGGAGCGACATGTAAATCTTTACCCAGTTGTGAATAGAGGACAGATCACGACTTAGGGATATCTAAGAACGATACCTCATTAACTCACAAACCCTTTCATTAATAATTTTCAGTTATCCCTATGCATTTAAAAAGTTTACACTATTAAAATGACCAAACAACAACCGAACTGCAGACTTACTTTGTTAATATTATGAGACAATTAAATGATTATATATATTGATTATATTTAGTTGTATCCTTATTTTTAAAGCCCTCCTGGGATCTTTAATACAATTTGCCTCATTAAAAATTAGCATCTTGCCGGGCGGTGGTGGCGCACGCCTTTAATCCCAGCACTCGGGAGGCAGAGCCAGGTGGATCTCTGTGAGTTCGAGGCCAGCCTGGACTACAGAGTGAGTCCCAGGAAAGGCGCAAAGCTACACAGAGAAACCCTGTCTCGAAAAACCAAAAAAAAAAAAAAAAAAAATTAGTATCTCTTTCCAAAGATGATGAAACTAAATTGTCTTATACTATTTATATTTTCCTCACTCTGGTCTACTAAGTGCATGACACACTCCACAGAGGCAGGCACTTTGTGTCACTCATTGAAATCCTGGCACTACTCTTCAGCTCCGATATTTAACACTGTTTATGCAAGGACCCCTTCTGGGAGGCTTCTTTTCGGGGCTGCAGCTGAGTAGAAGGGTAAGTCTGAAAGTCCTGCAGCACAGGAACGTGACTGTGACTACGTGGAGACAATCGTGTACTACAGAACAGCTGGACAGAGGATGCCGAGTGTTGCCAGCAGAGATGGTTCCCGTGCGGTGTGGGGACCAAGCCAAGTGCCCTGATCTGAGCATGACATATTAAATAATAAGCACTAGAGGGTTACATTGAATCCCAAAATAAATACAGTTTTATGGGTCAAATAAAATTATATCTGAAAGATGATTTCTTAAAATGATGGATTATTGAACTCTCCCAATATGTCCTGCAAGGGGCTAAGAGTTATCTGTAACTGTTACTTTCTAAGTCTTCAGATTAAGCCTAGTAGAGAAGTGAAAGAAAAATAGCAAAAAACATATATTTCCATAACAAGAGGCTTCAAGCAGAAAAATGACAACATATAATCTCACAAAGATAAAAACAATACACCAGTGCATTCTGGGAAACTTAAAAGTAACACAGGCACTAGCGATAAAACCCAAACCCAAACCTTACCCTCATGCCACTCATTTTTAAAACATGGTTCCAATACAGTTATATGCTGCTTTTAATATTTTTAAAGTACTCAATGAACATGGCTATGAGGCGCTGGCGCCATGCCCCAGAGGCTAAGAGCCCTGGCTGCTCCTGTTCTGGGTTTGTCCCAGCTCTCACAGGGCGGTTCACAACCGTCTGTAACTCGAGTTCCAGGGGAGCTCAGGCTCCCTCAGACCTCCACAGGCACCAAGCATGCACATGATGCACACACGTATTTTCAGGCAAAACGTTCAGTCCTAAAATGGAATGAGTCATTCTAATTTAAAATTTATTTTAAAATTACTATGAAAACACAGTCCCAGAAGAGACAAATCAATCAGAGCTGTTAGTATTTATTAAGAATAAAATCCGGGCTGGAGAGATGGCTCAGTGGTTAAGAGCACTGGCTGCTATTCCAGAGGTCCTGAGTTCAATTCCCAGCAACCACATGGTGGTCACAACCATCTGTAATGAGATCTGGTGCCCTCTTCTGGCCTGCAGGGATATATGCAGGCAGAGCACTGTATACATAATAAATAAATAAATCTTAAAAAAAAAAAAATCCTAGCACTTACAAGACTGAGGGAGGAAAACTGCAAGTTTGAAGCCAGTCTGGGTCACATAGTGAGACCCTATCCAAAAGCAGAAAGGAAGGGAGGGAGGAAGGGAGGAGGGAAAGGGGAGAGGGGACTAGATTAAACGGCGGGGGTCATGAGCAGCGGCGGGGGTCATGAGCAGCGCACCCCAGGATGACATCCGTCCTCACTTACCCACGGCTTTCATCTGTTTCCCGATGGCCTGGCAGATTTCCTTGGCAGCTGCGATCTGGGCTTTCTCCCCCAGCAAACTGCCCACAGTGGCTCTCAGGATGAAGGAGACGCACCGCCTCGAGTACACAGCGTCCACGTGTGTTTGTGTCGCTCGCGGGTGGGAAACCAGATCGAGCACATGTGACAAAAATGTGGCAAAGCTCCGCTCCAGCCACTGGCCCCCCAGTGTCGTCACGAAGACAACGTAGGCCTGTAAACACACGAAGACACAGCCTCAGACAGCTCGGGTGAACAAATGGAGGCACCGGAAGTGACTGCAGACACAAGGATGGCAGCACACACACAAGTTATACCTGAGATTCAAATACGGCCAAGTTAAATTCCACATCCTTGTAAGACTTCGGCCACAGGAATTACTACAATTCCTTTTTTTGTTTGTTTGTTTGTTTTTCTGTTTCTTTGTGAGGCAGGGTCTCATTGTGGAGCCCTAGCTGGCCTGGAACCCACTCTGTGGACCAGGCTTGCACTCACAAAGACCCATCTGCCTCTACTGGGATTAAAGGCATGTGCCACCATTCCTGCATTGAATAAAACAATTATTGGAAAGAGCCAGGTACGGTATTGCATGCCTGTAATGTCGGCATTCAAGGGGACCACCTCAAATCCAAGGGCAGCCTGGGCCACAAGGTGAGACACTGTGTCTAAAAATCCAAGCCAAAAACAACAGGCAAGAGTCTCAAGATGAAGTCATCCATAAAGGGAATGTGCTGAGGGAGGAAAGGAAAGCTCAATATATTCAGGATCAGCAAGGCAACAACACTCCGGAATAGAAATTCACATTCCAAGCAAGCACCAAGAGCTGCAGTACACCTGCTGGTGAGGTCCCCAGGACAAACCGTGGCTCCCATTGTCCATTTGTTTCAGGGACACCACTGTGGGGACTTTCACTAGGAGCGTGAACCGTGCTATCTATCAGATGTTATTAGATCTGTAACCATTAGTTATTATTTGGAAATTATAATTCCAAGTCACATCTCATCTTATATCCATTGGAGATTAGTCACTGGCAAATTCAGTCCAAGCATAAACCAGTTATTTTTAGTCACAGGTATAGGGAGAACATTACAGTCTCAGCCTCTGGTGTACATTATCACCTTAGACAAAACTTACTTTATAACTTGCGTGTTGTGAAATAAAATTTGAGATTTTTAAAAAAATATTTATATACACATAGTAGAAATGGACTTATTTATACATCAAGAATTTACCTTTTAGGCTGGGGGCTGGGGATGTAGGTCAGTGGTAGGGTACTTACTTGCCTAGCACACATAATGCCAGGGTCCAAAACCCAGGGCTTCCCACCTCAAAAGAAACAGAAAAGAAAAAAGACAATCTACCTTTTCTTCTAAGTATGTGACGAAATTTGGGATCTGAATTAATCCATTCATTGGTAAAGACACCAGACAATATTAAAATTGTCTTGTATGCTGTACGACAGTCTTCTGTGAAATGATCTGGACAGACTTCGTTCACACACATGCATCACAAACCTGGGTCACCCCGACTCTCACTTCACGGTTAACAGACCCTCCGACTTTCAACATCTCTCCACCACTCTTGAGGAAGCCGGACCCTCCACGCAGAAATCCTGTGGCCATGAGTTCTAAGACCTCATCAAACGTTGCTCGCTTCACATTCTGACGCATAACTTTAAGGAAGAAAAGTAAGTTCAAGAGCAAATGAGCTTCCAAAGCAGAATTACTAATAGTTCCAATATTCTAGCTTAAATTTTCAAGTTATAATTTTTAAGAGTATTATAAGATAGAAAAAGGTCACAATGTCTTATAAACAAAAACTTAAATTCATTTTTGAAGCAAAAAAAAAAATGCTAAGTGGAAGGAGCGAGGAAATAGAGCAGCTCAGAAAGTCTATGCAAACAGTGTAATAATGGTGACTGAGTGTGTGCAGCCCAGTAAGAACACCAGGCACCCGTTTCAGCCACTGCTGAGTTCTTCTTCCCAAATGAGGACACGGAGAACTCTTTTCTTTTTTTTCCCCTAAAGATTTAATTTCAATTTTTATTTATGTGTAAGGGCATGTTTCTTCCTACGTGCAGGCCCTGTGTTCCAGCACCTACAGAGGACAGAAGAGGGCGTCAGAGCCCCGGAACTGGAGACACAGGTGATTGTGAGCTGCCCAATATGGGAGCTGGGGAAGTAATTGGATCCCTGGAAAGAGTAGCAAGTACTTCTAACCACTGAGCTCTCTCTCCAGCCCCCAAAACAACATACATAGCAGTTGCCAATGTACTAAACTCCAGGTATCAAACTGCATGTGACAATATCCTTTCATATACAGTAGCTAACACATTCCTTATGAGAATTCTGTGGAGATGCAAAGCTCATGTTTATGTATGTAGGGTTCAGAACTGAGTATGTGGGTTTTAGTTTCACACCTAACACAACAGAACACCTTTTTAGACAACAAGTTACACAATCTCTATGAGCCTTAAGTTCCTCATTTATAAAATGACAATGATACTTGAAATTCACAGGGCTTTTGTGAGAGTTGAACACATTCCACAGTATAGGTTTTATATAGCATTTAAACATGTTACCTCACTAGTGTCATATAAGGAAACAATTACCACTAAAAGGAGAACAAATCAATCTCAAACAGCAATAACTGTAAGGTCTGGGACATAACCTATCACATCGGATTATCTTTCTACCATATGGAGGTGGGTAGGTTGGGGACAACAGTAGATCTGGAATGACTCAGCACCTGCTACATTACGTTTGCTCCGCTGGTCCCAACCCTTCCTGAGACACCTGTGGAACAGTGAAGCAACAAAAGAGTCACAAGGCAATCAGTGCTGCCCCCACACTGCTTAGTGACGGTCAGGACAGACTGAAGATTAGCACCGTGGCACAAATGGAGTGCTACACATCAGAGGCTGAAAGCACGTAAGACACCAGACTCCTTCCTATACGCTAAACATCATTCAAACCATTTCATGAATCCTACCTGCAGTATGCCAAAAATCTGCTCAGTGTTAACGAGTACACCATTCTCACAAGAAATGGACCAGAGAAGTGGCATTTGGGTTCTTTCATTTGATGAAAAGATACCCAACAATTTAAATCTCTTTAAAGTAGCTTCCATGAGTGATAACTTAGAGCATTTTCTAAACCTTCAAATACCTGCAATGGGTGAACACAGGGTGAGCCAACAATGGGCAAATGCAGGGTGAGCCAACAACAATACCTGTTGCCTGTTTTGGCATCAACGCTGTGGCCATGACTGTTCCTAGAAGTTTAGACACTGCGACCCGGACCCCATAATTTGAGTTTTCCAGAGCCTTAAAGCAGAGGGTAGCTATGTTTTCTAGTTCAGCGGTCCACATGAACACAGCCTCATTCTGTAGTTCCAGAAGACACTGTAATTAAAAACAAGGCCAATGGTAAATTATATTTTAGAACTTCTGTGTCCACAGAGGAAGTAACACAATCAAACTTAAGCTCACTCCTAGAAATACACAAACAATTGGACAAAACATATGAACAGTTTTCAAAACTAGATATCAGGCAATAAAAGGAAGCCCCTTTAAGGAAAAAACAAAACAAAATAAAACATCTAATACCTTAAAGTAAGCAAAAATGGAAATAAAGATAGAAAGGAAATCAGTGATCTAGAAAATAGAAATACAGTCAGTCTCAGGTGACTGGATTTTTGGTTTTTGGCAGTTTTCCCCTATGCAGTATTGGGAATTGAAACCAAGCCATGGCCTCATACACATAAAGCAAGCATTCTACCACTGAGCTACATGTCCAGCAAACCCAAAAAATAATAATAATGAAACCAAAGCCATCAATTAATCTGATAACTATCTATCCAATTGATCAAGGAAAAGAAAAAAGACATAAATTACCAAAATTAGGAAGGAGAGAAATCAAATTACTCCAGATTTATAACTCACTCAACAAGACAGAGATAACCTGAGTAATACGCTGTGGCATATATACATACATACATACATATATATATATATATTCCAAAATTGAGTAATATATATTCCAAAATTGACTTTGTAGTTTAAAATCTTCTGCACTGATTAATTCAACCACATGCTTATGCAAAAATAATGCTAATTCTAAATAAACTCTTCCAGAAAACTGAAGAGAACTTTCTCAATCATTCCATGAAGTCAGTATCTGCTAGGTCCTGAAACCTCATAAAGACGTTCTGAGAAGAGAACTGCGTGACTGAAGAGATGCCTCTGTGGTAAAGAGCATGTAATGTTCTTACAGAGGACCCAGGTTCAGTCACCAGCACCCACTTGGCGGGTGACAACCACCTATATATAACTCCAGCTCCAGGCAGTTGTTCCTCCACAGGTACCAGGCATGCATGTAGTGCATGTACATGTACACAGACAAAACCCATATATATATATAAAATAAAAATAAATATTTTTAAAGAGAAAGAAAACTGCACACTAACATCCCTCAGGGACCAAGATATAAAAATACCATGTAAACATTTTGCTGCTCTAATACAACAATATCCAAAAAATGACAACACGCCTAGTACTAGGGAGGCTTAGGAATGAAGATTTCAAGTTCAAGGAATTACACAGTGAGACACTGTCTCAAATCAAAATGAAACAAACAAAAACAAAATCAGTACCAAAGATTTTAAAATACGAAGTCAATTTTGGAATATATATTGCTCAGATTATCTATTTCGTGTTCAGTGAGTTGTAAATCTGGAGTAATTTTATTTCTTTTTCCTAATTTTGGTAATGTATGTCTTTATTTGGTAATATAGCATAACCAAGTAAAGTTTATCCTAGAAGTACAATTGGTGAAAATTCTAAAACTAACCAATGTAACCTACATTAGCAAACTAAAAAAGAAAACTCTTATGATCATTGTCATAGATGCTAAAAAAGTAAATACAACTAAAACTGGGGAAATCTGAAGACCAGAGGATTATGTGACTATCAACGTGCAAAGTGCCACTGTCCTATATTTCGCAAGGTATTGCTACCAAGGAACTCTAGCAAAGGTTATAAAGATGGTTCCTTATTTCTTACAGTCGCATATGGGCCCACAGTTTTGGAAGGCTGTGGAACCTTTAGGTGAGGCTTAGCTCAAGGAGGTGGGTCACTGTGGAGGATGGGGTGCTTACGTACAGCCTAACACTGTTTTCTTCTCTCCTCTCCCTCTTCCCTGGACTGCCAAGATTTCAACAGCAGCCTCACGGTAGTCTCACTGCCACATCTTCCCCGTGATAGACTGAATTCTAAAACCAAACCAAAACTAAACAAAAACCCTCCCTCGCGTCAGCTCACAGGTTTCAAGAAAATATTTGTAAATTATGTCTTAGGTAAAGAATATATAAACAGTCTATAAAGCACTCTCAGGTCTCAGTAGTAAGAGAAATTCCAAGCAATGGGCACTGTTTAAATACATCTTTCTTAATAGAAAATATGGATGATAAACACCTGAAAATATGCTTAACATTAGTCATTAGAGAAATGCAGGTTAAAACCATGAGATACTCAATCACATCTATTAGAATGACTAAAACAAAAACTGTAATTAGCAAATAATGATGAAGATGTGGAGGAATAGAAATCTCTTATATTAACAAAAGCAAAAAGCCAGAAATTTAAACCTATACAGATACTTGAGCAGTTTCGTAAAAAGTTAAACATAAATCTTAGCCATTCCAAATAAAATGTATTGACTCAAATAAAAACACAGGTCCACAAAAAAAATCTGCACACAGATATTCACAAAAGCTTTTTTGGTAATAGCCAAAGCTATGAAAAGGAACATGAAAGGTGGAGCACCCATGCAATGAAACAGTACTAAATAATAGGTTTGAACTACTGGAACATGGACATGCATAAATCTCAAAATAACTGTGCTTTCATGAAAACACAGGCACACAAAAGAACATACCACATGATCCCCTTTATAGATAATTCTAGAAAATATAACTAGCGTATGAAAACAACCCCCCAATGCTCATAATTTAAGAACTTTAAAAGGAAAAAAATGACCTGCTTAAGAGCAAGCACCATAAGGAACAACATCACAGGCTGGCTGGGCACTAACCTTGGCCACTGCACATCGGACAGCCATCGACCTGTCGGTTAGGAGGGATCGAGCATTCTTGTAAATGTCACGGTGAGAGGACGCTGCTGCACCACCCAATCCAGTCAGCACTTTCTGCAGACTCATTAAGATCTCACTTCGCCCTTGAGACTGCACACGAACATGAAGCAAACTTTAAAACCACATTGTCCAATCAATTCCGTAGTTAATAAGAACACACTAGAATATAGCAATTGTCGGGGCCTCATCTCCAAATCATGACAGTAAGGAAAAGCAGAGGATTAAGAGTTCTACAAAGAGCCAGGCGGTGGTGGCGCACACCTTTAATCCCAGCACTTGGGACACAGAGCCAGGCAGATCTCTGTGGGTTTGAGGCCAGCCTGGTCTACAGAGTGAGTAAGATCCAGGACAGGCACCAAAGATACAAAGAGAAACCCTGTCTCGAAAAACCAAAAAAAAAAAAAAAAATTCTACAAAGTATCTAAAACGTAAGAATGAGTGTTAATATCATCTGAGAAGTTAGCTCTCCTGGACAGAAAGATGAGTTTGCAAGCTGTGGACAGAGCGCTTGCCCAGTGTGTGCTATGCTCTGAATTTAGTCCCAAGTACACACATAGAAAAATGATACCCATGTCTTAAGCTTACTCCGCATTCCACTCACCTGAAGTTGACAAGGGCTCTATAAGCAAACTGACATGACAAACCCGAACATTTTTACTTGACATCATGTCAGTGTCGAACTCTGTCCCCTGCAGAAGTCTGAAACCCTGTTACATGTGACTATGACTGCAAACAAGGTCGTTGCAGATGAAAACAAAGAGCAAGCAGGTCATACTGGAGTAGGTGGTCCACAGCTGGGAAAGGCCAGAGTTTCTGGCCACCATTAAATCTAGGAAAGAAGGCACAGTCGTCACCCACCCCCCCAGAGCCTGTGGAGGAAGTATGACCCTGTGACCCTTGACCTCTAGGTGCCAGAGCCATGAGCTAGAGGCATCTGTTGTTCCATGATGCTGCGCAGGGTATATCAATGTATTACAGCAGACATATGAAACTGATACATAGCTGTGACACAAAAAAATTTTCAATTGAAAAACAGAACTCAGTTAAAAAAAAAAAAAAAAACAGGTAAACTCACTCATTTAAAAATCAATGGCATCCCCTCTCCAGACATTTTAAAAAGGAGACATGATAATCTGAAATCACTTTCTGGCTAAGCACCCTGAGTGTCACAGTAACAGAAGAAAACACCTTTAACACTCGTGCCCCGAGCAAGGCATCAAACACTTGCTGTAGGATGGACTGACCTCTGCGCTCTTCAGAGACTTCAGCAGGTTGTTCACTGTTTCTGGAAACGCACTGCCCAACATCCTTCCCATCTTCTCATAAAACGCTCCAACACAAGCCACCGCTGCCCTGTGAAGATGGTCTCACTGGTTAGTAACACAGAGCGCGCAAAAACAAAAGTTTTAAGTACAGTTCATTACACTTTTCTGATTTTCTGATTTTCAAAAGTTAATTTGTATTTATCTATAACATTTTAGGATCAGCTTAATCTAGTCATCAGTAAACTATAAGCAAAGTGGTCTCTACCTCGGCTACTCAACTTTGCCGTTCTTGTGTGAAAGCAGATCAATGAGCAGGCAGGTCGGGATTCCAAATCATTTCTTTAACTGCCTGGACTTGGCCAGCACACTAGTCTTCCCCCTTCCTGCCTCATTTTCCTCACTAACTCTTTTCTGTCCCATCTCAGACACGAATATGATTTCCATCAGAACTGATCAAAAGACTCCTGACACCACACCGATTCTCCCGGCTGTGTCCAAAGTAAGTGATGGGCAGTGAGGTGATCCGCCCCTTCCTCAGATTTAGTTAGAACTTCCAGTCAGTACCGTGCCTCAGGGTCCACCCACCTGGGGTCTTTATGTGATGGATGAGTCCCTAAATCACCTTAAAAAGGGGAAAGGGAAGGCAAGGCTTCCTGTAATGAACTCACAGTTTTGTTGGTAGGTAGGCTGCGGTGTCGTCCTTACTTCTGATAATGTCATTACACTTATCTAGGGTCTGAAAAACGGTGTACGTATCCCCAATGCTATACAGGGCTGCAAGGTTCTTAGCCAACAATTTTCGAGTAGGTGGTCCAGGTGAGCTGCTGATTAATCCAGTTAATTGTTCAACAAGTTTTTTCTGTTTTTCTTTTACATCTGTCTGTTATTTAAAAAAAAAAAAAAAAAAGAACATTTTTTCCTTGTACCCTTATTACTTTCTAGTCAAAAATACTTAACATGTATTATGCTCTAATAACTAAAACCTGTATTCATTAAGCATAACTCACACATGAAAACATATATGAAAATGAAAACTTCAGTAACAAATGATCCACCCTTTCCTAGATTAAATCTTCATTCCCCTTCATTGTCCAAAAGTTTGATTTCAACTATTACTATGTGAGCTAGTTTCCAGACCAACTTAGGAAGTCGAATCACATATTGGATGTGTAGATTACTAAGGTTTTCCCCTGAACAAGCAAATATAGTTGTCCATAAAGTTATGGGCTAGAAAACCAAAAGAAATTTTGAAGAGACCTAAGCAACAGAATGTAATTCCCAGATCTACACATAACCAGTGTCTAGTCAATATCAAGAATTCACTCATTCACTTGAGAAATACGATGCAATTACTACATGTCACGAACTATTCTAGGCACTGGGTGTGACAGTGAACAAAACAGACCGAGTCTGATTCTCATGAAATTTACATTCTAGGGGAAGGGACAGAATATAAATAAATAAACGGCATGAGTGCTTACTATTTTATATAAGTTACTTAGAAAAAACGTCACTCTCTAAGGTGAAGTGGTGAGCTATGCGGCTATCCAGGAATAGAACATTTGCAGATGAAGTCTGCTTAGCACACTGGAGGACAGCGAGGTTGGGTTAGCTGGGATGAAGTAGGAGAAATCAGTCAGAGATGAAGTCAGAAGAAACCAGATGACAGAACATGAAGTTCATTCTGAGTGAGTGTTTTAAGCAGAGGAGGGGTGTTATCTAAATCTTTCACCCAATTAGTTCTGACTGTTGAAACCATGGATGCTGAATATACAGGGCAGAAACATATTGGGCATTTAGAAAGCTACTGCAATAACCCAGAAGAGAGACACTGGAGAGGCAGGTGATGGGAAGCAGACGGGCTCCAGATATGCTTGTGGGCAATTCCATTAATATTTGTTAATCAGCATGTAAGGGAGAAGTGAAGAACAGCTTTAAGGGTTTGGGAAAGGTTAGGTTTGAAAAAGGAAATCAACACTTGGGTTTAGATGTGTTAGTGTTATCTCTGAGATGTGTGTGTGTAGAGGGAGGGGAGAGAAGGAAGAGTGGGAAAGGAAGAGGGAGAGTGAGAATCAATCACGTATCCCATGCTGGCCTTGAATTTACTGTTCAGCTGGGGATGACAGTGAACTTTTGACCCTCCTGCTCCCACTTCCCAGGGGCTGGGATTATTGCTATGGGCCACGGCATAAAATTGTTTTATGTGGTACTTGGAACTAAACCCAGGGCTTTTTGCATGTTAGAGGCCAGTGTTCTACCAACTGAGGACAGCAGCCCAGGAGATATCATTTGAAAGTTGGGTATCTGAAATGGTGGCAGAAATCCTAAGATTAGACATCACTAAAGGGTAAAACCAACAGCTCTCACAACAAAACAACATGAGTGTTAAGTATGTACAGCGGAAGATCAGCTATGTGAAAAGATGGGAAGGAACCAAATAACAAAAGTCCTGACCACTGTTTGGACAATTTGAGTTATGTGAGACCTTGAGAAAGACTACAGCAGAAGGAAGACAACACATGCCCAGTTCTAGAAGATTTAAGAGACAGGTATAAATTTCTAGTTAAAGGTTACAAGGGAATCCATGCATTTACTGTCTTTCTGGCAATTAAAGTGATTCTAAGAGGCAAGAGCAACAGCACAAAGCCAAGTTCACAAGGGCCACCACAATAGGAAAAGAATGCAAGCAAAAATCTGGAAGCCAACAACTCCCAGCAGAGAAAACGAAGAAGTGAAGACACAAAGCATTCCAATAGTTCATGGGTTTTTGTTTGTTTGTTTGTTTTTAAGTCTTGGGAGACTTTTGAGGTTACAATAAATCTGCACCTAGAAATAAAAGGAATAACTGGTTGACAGTCTCTGAGGGTATACAGGGGTGCATCCACCATGCCCAGCATTTCAGCACTCAGGCAGCTAATGCAGGAAGACAGCTGCATGTTTGAAGCTAGTCTGGGATACATAATGAGTCCCAGGCCAGCCAGGAATACCTAATACAAGCCTGTCACACATAGCAAAATCAAAGCCAAAAAACAAACAAACAAACTCTTCTATGCTCCTCTCCTCCATCCTAGGAGAAGGCTAGAGGCTTGTTTTCTGGAAAAGTGTAAGACGGGACAACTTTGGACAAGGACACGACTGTGGACTGAGGTCACTGTACTAGATAGGAATCAAGTGAATGTTTACATATTGAGTGTTGAAGCCTTCAGGCTCCCTACCCCAATCCCTCAATCCTAGACAATTAACCACATCGCCTTCAGATACTAGATAGCAAAGTATCGTCCAGGGAACAATCAGTCTAGAGGAACAAACTAAGAGGGGAGGCTGGGGACTAGCCTATCTGACGTTCAGATGACAAAATTCACCTTTTCCAGAACACCTTCTGTGATTCACTCTGAAAATCTGAACAAAGCTCTCATTTGAGGAATGCTTCTAATGTTTAGAAAATAAACAAAACATGCACAAAACAAACTTGCATGTGACTCAAAGAGGCTGTGCAGGAAGTAGAAGAAGCCATGCTTCTTGGTGGTGCATGCCTTTAATCCCAGCACTCGGGAGGCAGAGCCAGGCGGATCTCTGTGAGTTAGAGGCCAGCCTGGGCTACAAAGCAAGATCCAGGACAGGCACCAAAACTACACAGAGAAACCCTGTCTCGAAAAAAAAAAAAAAAAAGTAGAAGAAAAAGTAAAAACTTCTTATTAAGTCCCCAAACAGAACAGGCAGACAGTGAGATTACAGACATCACAGAGTCCACTTCCAGGCACTGATGATGATAAGCGACACCAGCCACAGAGTCATCTTTTTTCTCCCAGTCACACTGAGCTGAGATATGAAGTATGCAACAAGCAGGATTTAGACAGAGTTTGGGTTTTGTTGCTGACTAAGAGAAAGATAAACTAGAAATTCCTGAGGTGAATGACTCATAACATTTTCAAAACACAATGTTTTAAGTTTTCTTTATGTTAATCTCATAGGGTGGGGGGGAGCGATACCTACCTTGTTGGCAGCAACTAGGACTTTATCAAGAAATCTTAACCATTCAAAGATAAACACTGGTCTCTTTGCTTCGGTGATTTGAGCCAATGCTTCTTCATTGAGCAATAAGCTGTGAGCTAACTCCATTATCGAAGTTCTTAATTCACACCTTAAATGAACAGAGTTAAAAGAAAAAAATACATGTAAGGAATTTTTATTTATGTGTAGGACTGTTTGGCCTACATGAATGTATGTGCACCACATTTGAGCCTGATGCCCACAGAAATCAATCAGAATAGGGTGTTAGACGCCCTGGAACTAGAGTTACAGATGGTTATAGTCACCATGTGGGCTCTGGAAACCAAACCCGGGTCCTTTTCAAAAGCAACACGAGTTCTTAACCACTGAGCCATCTCTCCAGCCCCGACAAATAGAATTTTTTTTAATAGTAAATCTCCAGTTTCATAAATGCAACCACTAAGATGGGGGGGTATATGGTTTCACTTCTCATTATTTCTCATTTGTTCAATATAACTTCTTTCACACACAACCTGAGAGAACCAATCTTGAGAAGTCAACGATAGAAACGAAATTTAAACTGGCGACAAGAACGGAGTGCGAGGAAAATGTAAATGCTGCAAGAAGGCATTATTCCCGGTAACTCAATTCTACCCCCGAAGCACCAAGCTCATGCATCTTGGCGAGCCTTCCCCGTGCCCTGCTGAGTGTACATGCACCTTTATGGTCCCCGGCGACCACAGGCTTCCGACAGGCCAGGGGCGGGCCCCCCAAAAAAGGGATCCGCAGCAGGAGCGCCCCGGACAACCCCTCGGCCCAAGGGATACAGCCGGGCAGAACCCCGAGTGCACGGGGTAGGGGTGCACCCCGCGGCTCCGAGGACCGCGACAGCTTGGGACCCGGGGGAAAAACCGCGAGCCGGGGTCGCGGGGCCGTCCCAGGAGGTCAGCCTTACGTCGCAAGGGGGGGGGGGGCTGTCCTCGAGCTGTCAACCCCACGAGGCTGAGGCTCCCCGGCCTCCCAACTCCAATGCCTTCCTCAGCCCGCTGAGAAAACGTCCCGGGGCACCGGGATCGCGGTGCGTGTCCGCCTGCCTGCTTTGACAGCGCGCGGGACCGCCGTCTCACCTTTCCAGTCCGGCCGGCCTGGGGGCCCCTGATCAGCTGAGAGCCCCGCAGGCAGAAGCCACGGCAGAGGAAACCCGGATGCCCCGCCTCCCCCAACGCCAGCCCGCAGGAAGCCGAGCAGGAGGGAGAGGCAGGCGCGCGCGCGCGCGCGTGCGCAGAACGCTGGTCTTGCTCGCTCGCGCGCCCGCACGCGCACGCGCGGCCCTCACGCCCTCGTAGCCCCGCCCACATCCCTCCCCCAGCGAATCGGCTGTCGGAACCCGAGGGGGCTGGAGATCCGGGCGGGTCCTTGGCGAGTGGGGCGGCGCATGCGCGGCGCGCGCTCGGCTCCGGAGCCGGGTCCCGGGCGGCTGAAGCTGCGCTTTTTATTTTTTCCCCCCGGCACTGCGGACGCCCAAGGAGAGTGAGTGACGGAGGTCGGTGCTAGTTGGCTGTGACCGCCCATCGCAACATCAGCAGCAGCGCCCTCCTCATCCGTGAGTGGGTCGTTCTGGATGGGTCGCTGCAGGCGGGAGGGGAGGGCCCGCGCGATGCTCGGGACCCCTGTAGGAAAGAGGTGGCCCATCTCTGTATTCAGTCGCCCCTGCTTCACACTCCCCGTGCAAAGATGCCCAGTAAAGAATAAGCCCTCACCGGTCATCTTCCTGTTGAGAAAATGGTCACCCTTTATTTAGGTACTTAGTCAAAGAGCCGCGCATCATTCTTGCCCTGGTTCTTTCTCACACACCACCTCCAACCCATCCGCAAAAGTCGTATGATCACTTCGCTGCTGTGACTCTCCTAAGGGATGGTCCAGGCCCACCAGCATCTTTTCCTGAGTATTATCTCTCGCCTTGTGGAGTTTATGCTTATGTTATGGAGGGAGTGGATAATGCTAGTGTGTATTATCCTCATAGCAAGAGAGCTTTCACACTCGAGGACCTAATTCCTTATTCCACTCCTTAACAATAATTTAACTTCCTCACCAATAGTAATCAGTTTCCTCAAAGTTTGTCCGTTAATGACATCGCAATACCTGGTGTACGTAAGTGTGATGAGATATGAAAATTGTGACTATAGGATGTAATAACTAAAAGGGAGAAATAACCTGTCATCTCACTGTGCAGATCACGCTGCCCTCAAACTCCTGAGTGTTGAAATGACACCAGTGGGCCACCATGTCTGACTTTGGAAATGTTTCCCTTGAAAATAATTCAGAGCCGGGCGGTGGTGGCGCATGCCTTTAATCCCAGCACTCGGGAGGCAGAGCCAAGCAGATCTCTGTGAGTTCCAGACCAGCCTGGGCTACAGAGTGAGATCCAGGACAGGCACCAAAACTACACAGAGAAACACTGTCTCCAAAAAACAAACAAACAAACAAAAATTCAGTTTGGGCTAGACATTTAGCTCAATGGTAGAATGCTTTTCTTGCATGTGTAAGACCCTGGGTTCAATACCCAGCTCATCAATGATAATTATAACCTCATTCTGTTTCAGGAGCAAGATCACCAAGACCTGTATTCTGTGTGGTTGGGAACGAATCATTTAGCCGGATTGAGCTAATTCATTTTTCAAGCTGGAAAGTGGAACTGTTTGTATCTATTGAGTTGTTCATGAACTAGGTGAGTACTAACTACTATATGTAAGAATACTGGCGTTCAGTCTGAGTCACCTCAGGCTTGACTGTTTCCCAAGTGGCTCACTGATTTGGCTCACACGTTTGTGCCTCAGATCCTTCTGTGTGGACGTCCCCATAGAGCTTCTTGAGTGCTCTCGTGAGGGACCACAGACTTCATTCAATTACTCCATCCTACCATCTTTACAGAGTGAAATGCTCAGTGTGACCCAAAAGTCACTCTAATATACAAAACCCTGTTGGTTACACGAACTGCTCAATGTGGAGATTACACAGAGTTATCAAAAAGCCAAGAGGCAAGATTTACTAGGAACAGACCGTTTTGGAGAATACCACATCAGGGCTGGAGAGATGGCTCAGAGGTTAAGAGCACTGGCTGTTCTTCCAAAGGTCCTGAGTTCAATTCCCAACATGGTGGCTCACAACCATCTGTAATGAGATCTGGCTCCCTCTTCTGGCCTGCAGGGATACATGCAAACAGAACATTGTATACTTAATAAATAAACAAATCTTTAAAAAGAAAAAAAGAATACCCCATCATTATATGAGTGTTTGTCTCATAACTGGAGAATCACAGGTTCCAAAGCCAGCTTGGACTATATAGTGAGTTCCAGGCCAGCCAGAGATACAGGACACAGGCCAGTCCGATCTCACGAAAGAAACAAAAGAAAACAAAACAAGAGTGTTTACTTCTGTAGTGTTTTGAATTGGTGTGGTACCAATAGGCTCATACTTTTGAATATTTGGTGCCCAGTTGGAGGACCTGTTTGGGGAGGATTAGAAGGTGTGGCCTTGTTGGAGGAGGTGAGTCACAACAGGGGCTTGGAGGTTTCAAAAGTCCACACCATTCGTTAGCTTCTGTTGGGTTGACTGCTTCGCTGTTCCTAGGACATAAGGTACTGAAATTCTCTTTGTGCATAGGGGAGCATCCTATAGTGTTGCCACGCTCCAGGGTTGATTTCCGTTTTGGTAAGCTAAAATGATAATGATAATAAATAATACTATTATTACTTTGTCCTGTCTGATTTGTAGGTAGTATTGTCATAGGACGTTGAACATGGCAGAAGAAGAAGAGGATTACATGTCAGATGCCTTCATTAATGTTCAGTGAGTAAATGTGCACACCTAATATAATGATATAAAAAAGACGTATATAGACTATAAAATGAGGACATTGGTTGGCTGGTGGTGGTGGTGGTCATGTGTGTTGGCTTGTTTTGAGACAGGGTTTGTCTCCTGTAGCTCAGGCTGCTCTCTAACTAACTCACTGTGTAGCTGATTCCCCTGCCTCTGTTTCCTAAGAGCTGAGATTACAGGTGTGTGCAAAGACCCTGACTAGTTGTTACGGTGTTGGGTTTCATGCATACTAACTAGGTAAGTACTCTGACACTACTTGAGCTACCCCCCCCTCAACCCAGGACATTTTTTAATATGTATTTCAATTTTTAAAGAAGAGGCAGGCAGATTGCTGAGTTTGAGGCCAGCCTGGTCTGCAGAGAGTTCCAGGATGGCCAGGACGACACAGAGAAACCCTGTTTTGAACCCTCATCCCCTCCAAAAAAAAATCAATCTTAACTGTTTCATGGATAACATCTCGTGTGTCCATACAAAGATGATAGGCGCTGGCTGTCTCGTCTCTTTCGGTGTTAATTATTTTACTTCTCTTAACCCTGTTTGGGTGCCCTCCTCTGTCTCCTGTCAGTGTCAAGGGGGTACCTGGCAAACAGGGAGAAAACTTCTGAACTCGTCTACACCGTTGCCTTTATTTTTCAGAGAAGACATCAGACCAGGCGTGCCAATGCTGAGGCAGATCCGCGAGGCCCGCCGGAAAGAAGAGAAGCAGCAGGAAGCTAATCTGAAGAACAGACAGAAGAGTGTGAAAGAAGAAGAACGGGAAAGACGTGACCTCGGGTTGAAGAATGCGCTGGGCTCGGAAAACAAAGGGTTTGCTTTGCTCCAGAAGATGGGATACAAGAGCGGGCAGGCCCTGGGCAAGAGTGGTGCGTCACGTGCGGAACTGGCTCGGGGTTCTTGTTTGTTTGTTTGTTTGTTTGTTTGTTTGTTTGAGACAGGGTTTCCCCGTGTAGCTTTGCAACCTGTCCTGGAACTCGCTCAGTAGCCCAGGCTGGCCTCGAACTCACAGAGATCTGCCTGGCTCTGCCTCCCGAGGGCTGGGACTAAAGGCGTGCGCCACCACCGCCCGGCTTGGCTCTGTGTTCTCTACCATTCAACTGCAATGTGCTGATGGAGACCTAAGTTGACAGTACTTCTTATCTACCAAAGAGCAAAGCAGCTTAAGTTTCTTGGTATCTTTGGGGCTACCGAACCTTCCAGAGTTGTCTTCTCACATCCATTTTAAACGCCACACATGCGGACACGAGCCTCTCAACATCCCACGGCCTCCTTGAACTGGCAAGTGGCCGACAGTGGAGGCAGTGGAGAATGGTGGCGGGTGATGGGCAGAGAAGCGCAGTGGCCAGATGGCAATGAAGCAACTTAGGGGACCATGGCAGGGCTCTTCCCGGCTTGCTCTGTGTCTGTGGCAGCCGTCCGACTCACCTTCCGCTTGGAGAAGCTGTGTTCCCCTGTAGGAGGTGAAACTGCTTATTAAGATGTAGTGGCCGTAAATGGTGGCTTCGGTTTGCTTTGTTTCTACTTTAATCACGTTGATGTTTTCATACAGGAAGACTGTTTTCTCTTGCAATCTCTGCCCGCTAAGACTGTTGCTTCCATAATGTCGCTTCCTGAGATGGCATAAGTGTACTGGGAGGCAGAGGCAGGTGGATCTCTGTGAGTTCAGGGCCAGCCTGGTCTACATAATGAGTTCCAGGAGAGCTGGGGCCACATAGTGAGACTTGGTCTCAAAAATAGATAGATGATTGATAGATAGATAGATAGACAGACAGACAGATAGGTGGGTGGGTGATATGTAAAGTTAGGAGAGGTAATAGCTAAAAAAGAGAGTAAGAGAGTATTAGTTTCCGGAATTGGATTTGGGATGCCATTGAACCTGGGAAGGGATATAATATAATATTTCTAATTTATGTTTCTTTTTTCTGTTTTTAGGAGATGGTATTGTTGAACCAATTCCTCTCAATGTCAAAACAGGTATATAATAATTTTTAACTATATTAAGTAGCAATAACTTAGATTGGCTTACTTAATATGTTTTTGTGAGGGTGCCCTTATAGTTGACTGTCATGGGAAGCCTATGAAATAGCAGAATGTTAAACTTCTAAACCTTTGTAAAGTTGTTTTTGTAAGAAAAAAAAATTTTTTAAAGTAAGTTTTGGTGAAATAGAAGTAATGGAATGTAAAATGTAAATCATAAAAAATACGGGGAGCCAGGAGGAGTCATTTGTGATTATGCACCCGTAATCTCAGGACTTAGAATGGGAGATGTAGGAGGATAAGTTTGTGGGGGTTAGCCTGAGCTACATAGTGAGGCCCCGCCCCAGATTGAAGGATGAAGCCCATTGGTAGAGCCTGTCCGGTACAGGGCCCTGCCTCTGATTCCAGCACCACAAAAACTGGGGGGAAATTTTTATAACGATGAAAGCACAGCGCCTTTCTTGTCTTTTGTAAGGTGCCAAAAATGTTCTAAAGAAGATTTGTCGATGATATTTTTAAGTGTAATTCCTTGGTTTAACTGAAGAGACAAAAAGGCATACATGTGTGAAAGTGTGATAGTTGATAGTATTTTCCTAATTTTTATTTTATTTATTTATTATTTACTTATTTATTTTTGGGTTTTGGGGACAGGGTTTCTCTGTATAACAGTCCTGGCTATCCTGGAACTCACTCTGTAGACCAGGCTGGCCTCGAACTCAAAGATCCATCTGCCTCCACCTCCCAAGTGCTGGGATTAAAGGCATGTGCCAACACCTCCCTAATTTGTAAAAATGTGTGTAGCATTACTGTGTTGGATGAGACTCTTTGATCTTTGTCAAAGTCATCCTAGTGTTTTCTGCTGCCATTTTAATGAAATAAGTTAGGATAATTATATTCAAATGAAAACTGCATTTAATTTCTTAGCTATTTAAATTGTCAGGTTTTGAAGTTTAAGAAAAAAAAAAAAGTTCCCAAATTCCTCATCAGAATTTTGTCTGTGACCAGGAAAAAGTGGCTTAGGTCACGAGACATTACTAAAACGGAAAGCAGAGGAAAGGCTGGAAAACTACCGGAGAAAAATTCACATGATAAACCAAAATGAAGAAAAGGCCGCCGAGCAGTTCCGGTAAAGCGTCCTTTGAGTTGGTTTTGCTTCCAGTCCCCTTATGACGGTGTGCTCCCCAGCGCTCGGGTATGTAAGTAGTTAAGAGAATAGACATTACAACTCTTCCTTCACTCAGGATGCGAATGAAAAGTAAGCAAGACGAGATGAGGCTTGAAGGAGACCTGCGAAGAAGCCAGCGAGCCTGCCAGCAGCTGGATACCCAGAAGGTCGGTGGGCATCTCCCTCCAGTTTCCTAGTGCTTTAGTACCTGGATGATCTGGTTTATATTCTTATTGAGGAAAAAAAAACAAAACAAAACCAAAAACTCCACCCCTTGCTTATAAAAACTTTCCCTTAAAGATCTACAATGGGTGGTGGTGGTGCACGCCTTTAAACCCAGCACTCGGGAGGCAGAGCCAGGTGGATCTCTGTGAGTTCAAGGCCAGCCTGGGCTACAGAGTGAGATCCAGGACAGGCATGAAAACTACACAGAGAAATCCTACCTCGAAAAACAAACAAAAAAACTTGGTTTGATGTGCACTAGCTACTGTGGTGACTGACTCACTAGTGACTGACTTACTCCAGAGCCCGGTTTCCTGAGTTGTCTGCTAAGGGTTAAATAGCTTTGGTTTTATTCCAATTGTCATTACTCAGGACTGGAAGGTATAGAAATGCTGTTCCCCTTAATGTTTAATTAACCAGAATAACCTAATTTTAGTTTATACTTCTCACTTTGTGTGTCTGTTGGGAAATTAAGGTGGAATGCTTTCATTTCAAATAGGAATCTTTTAAAATCACTTTAAAAGAAATCTTTGCCTTTTACAAAACACAGTGAGTGGTATCAAGATAAAAATAATGTTATTTAAAGTCTCAAATATTGGTATAATTTCTGTCCTAGGTAAGTAGCTGGGAGGAATGGCCCACTTCACCTTATTTCCGTGGGGTATTATCTTACACGTACTTGCTGATACTTAATGACTTCCTAGCTTATATGTACCATTTTAGACTCATCAATCATCTTCCTTGCTTGACTGACAAAATTCTTTTTTGTTTTGTTTTGTTTTGTTTTGTTTTGTTTTGTTTTGTTTTTTCGAGACAGGGTTTCTCTGTGTAGCCAGCCTTTCCTGGAACTCACTTGGTAGCCCAGGCTGGCCTCGAACTCACAGAGATCCGCCTGCCTCTGCCTCCCGAGTGCTGGGATTAAAGACATGCGCCACCACCGCCCGGTTTTGAATAACAAAATTCTAATTGCCCTTTTAGTCAGTCTTCACTGGTCGTGGTCCGATGCTTTACTGAGAAATTGCACTCAGTAAACATTAATTGGAAGAAGAATCCGTGTTAACACAAACGTACTTATAACAGCACAAGTGTACTTAGCTGTGCTTTATAACAATCATCCTGCATTTTCAGAACATTCAGGTTCCCAGGGAGGCATGGTACTGGATAAGGCCTGAGGAGGAGGAGACTGAAGAAGAGGAAGAGGAAGACCAGGATGAAGATGAGTACACCAGCGAAGATTTGAGTGTACGTCTGGGCACCATTTGTTTCCTCGGGGCGGGAGTCTTGGCCTTGGCACTGTTCCCACCGGAAGCTGGGTAACTCTGCTGTGGGCAGCATGATCGGATGTGTAGCAGTACCACGTGCCACTCAGCGTGGGTTCTGCCACCTGCCTAGGGGCGGGGAGGGAGAAAGGACAGACACATAGACACACAGGAAAACTAAGATCGGGTGGGGGTGTGCTCACTCTGATGGGGTACCTACTACCCCACCCTCACCCCCCACTCCCCCGAAACCCTGAATGTCAGTGTGTTTATTAGCACACAGGGAGGGGCTAGCTAGTCTTGATGGGAAGTCTCTCTAGGCAAACAGCCTCAGGCTGTGTGATATCCCAGAGGAGGAAGCTGTAGCTGCCAGCTGAAGCTGGCGTCTGGAGGGTGGAGACCAGGTACGCTGCTATGCAGGCAATAGAGAAAGCCTTGGGTGAACGGAGTCCTGAGTGAATGTGTATCGCTGACATTGGCGTGCCATGTCGAGAGCTCCAGTGCCTCTGCCCCACAGGAGTGGCAAGGAGGAACAGCTAAGCTTCCCTCGGGGGTCTGAGAATGCGTGCTGGTAAATGATTGATCAGGGTGTGCGAACACTGGCAACTGCAGCGGGACAACCAAAAAATGTCTCCAAGCATGGCCAAGTAGCCCCTGGGGAGAAAAATCACCTGAGTCGAGAGCTGCTGATTTCCAGGATTGCTTTACTAACCCAAAAATAAAAAATTCATATAATTTTTCCATTTAGTTTTAGTTTACTAAAAAGGACAGATTAGCTACAAATGTAAATGATTGCCCTTGGTTTTGTTTCCTGTTCAATTCTAAAAGTGATCCTAATGTGTACCTCATCCGTTCACAAAACAAGACAAACAGAAAATAACATCAGAAGGAAGTACGGGGTAGACGAAGATAGCTCAGTGAGTCTGCCGCCGAGCCTGAGTCCAGTCCCTGGGACTCACATAGTGGAAGGAGAGAGCGGACTCCCCCAAATCTCCCTCTGACACACGCTGGGCAGCACGTGAGACACATATACACATACGCACAATTAGGTTTTAAATGTAATTATTCAAGAAAGGGTGGGGATACCCTATAGTTACTTGCACATGGAATTTTCCTAGGCAGCGTTCACAGCTTTAAGCACATACGGACAGCTTAACTGAGATCTCTGATGAGTGTGGCTGAAGGGGGCGGTCCTCCCTCCCCTCACCCGAGGGGCAGAGTCCTTGAAAGTAAAAGAGGGTTTTGAGAATCCTAATTATCGCTGGGCACGATGGCTACGTGAGCGTCCCGTGATCTGCCACTCAAAGTGGATGTTCCTGCTGGGCAGGATGGTGCACACCCTTAATCCCAGCACTCAGGAGCCAGGGGCAGGCAGATCTCTATGAGTTCGAGGCCAGGCTGATCTACACAGCAAGTTCCAGGCTAATAATACATAATGAGACCCTGTCTTTTTCAAAAGACCAAACACCAAAACTTCATCACAGAGCCAGCCACAAGATGATTTTCTTTATGCTCACCAGTTGTCTCTTGTGGACAAGTGGTTGGTCAACTGAGACATGCCCACATGTATCACCTCTGCTCTGCCTCCCTGAGTAACTGTTGGAGAGGACCAGGAGAGTTCAAGCCTGGTCCTTAGTAACGGGACTGAGATCCAGGAACCAAGGTTCTGGTCGATGCGAGCCACGGATGTACCCGTGTCCTCCTCCAGGTGCTGGAGAAGCTGCAGATACTCACCGGATACTTACGAGAAGAACATCTATATTGCATTTGGTGTGGGACAGCCTACGAAGGTGAGAAGATGATTTATGTTTAAAAGCTACTGCCCGTGAATACTTGGTTGTTTTTTTTTTAATAACACTCACATGTCTTTTCCCATTCAAATAGCAATGTGGGACTGCTGTCTAAAGGATTGGTGACTACAGAAATAATTGAGTTTTTATTAGAATTTAACATTTAATTTTTCAGTCACTGAATGTGCAAGAGGGAATTTTCACCATTTTATTACTCAAGAAATAATTTCTACTCTAAAGAATAGCTTTAAAAGGCTTAGGCATGGTGACACACACTGTTAATCCCAGCCCTCAAGAGGCAGAGGCAGTGGATCTCTGAGTTCAAGGCCGGCCTGGTCTACAGAGCGAGTTCAGGACAGCCAGGGCTACACAGAGAAACCCTGTCTTGAGAAAAAGAAAGGAAAGGTTTTTGTTGTTGTTGTTGTTGTTGTTGTTTTTCAAGACAGGGTTTCTCTGTGTAGTTTTATCCTGGAACTCACTCTGTAGACCAGGCTGGCCTATAATTCACAGAGATCCGCCTGGCTGTGCCTCTCGAGTGGTGGGATTAAAGGATCCGCCACCACCCCGCCCAGCTGCAAGGTTTATTTTTATTTGTTCAAACTTTGTGTGTGAATGCTGTGACAGCATTTCTCAGGCCTACACAGCAAGTTCCAGCCCCTCAGGGCTGCATAATGAGACCTTGTCTCAACCACCTACCCCCATCCAAAAAAAGAAGAAGAAGAACCTTGCAGATAATGATTTCTTTCATGCTTTATTTTTGAAGATTCATTCTTTGATAGATACTTGCATTAATTGTCCTGACTCATAAACATCAACTCTGTTGAAATCCATTCTTTTTTTCATCGTGAAGAAAAAAATTAGTTTAACCCCTGCCAAATATCTCTTGAGAATGAGGATCTTTTTCATTATTACTTTAATCTCTTAAGTTTTATATTAGGTGTATGGGTGCTATGCCCATGTGTATATCTGTGCACCACATACATTCAGTGTTCACGGGGGCCAGAAGAAGGCATCAGGTCCCCTGGTCCTGGAGTGAGACAGCTGTGAGCCACATGTGGGTGCTGAAAATGGGATCCAGATCCCCTGGAAGAGCAGCCAGTGCTCTTAACCATTGAGCCGTATCCCCAACCCCCAGCCCCTTGTTTTTTATTGTTTTAATCTTTTTCCTCATTTACTTAGTAGAATAAAAAACATGACTGGTCAAAAATACTACATACAATTTTCTACAAGTTTACTCTAAACGTATTTACTTATCTTTTATTTCTCTCACATAAATTACAGATAAAGAAGACCTATCTTCAAATTGCCCAGGACCAACCTCTGCAGATCATGACTGAGATTATTCCCAATAAAGTAAAAACTATTTATGCAGGTGAGAAAAGACGGCCTTTATGTAATGCTTTATTCTTTTAGAAGTATGTCCTTCTTTGGATAAAATTGCTCACTGACTTGGGGAAAAGTTACTGTTACTTTAAAATACAAGTATCCTAGACATGGACAATTACGTTTTATGCTAGTATTGTGATGCTTGTAGAGGCGTACCAGCAGGTAACACACTTAGTCCCCCTCTTTACTTGGGAAAAATTGAGAAATAAGGCTTTATGGGAATCAGGAAATCAATTGTCTGCTTTAGGGCTTGAGACATACCTTAATAGTAGAATGCCTGCCAAGACCGTACAAGGCCCCCAAGTTCAGTCACAGCACCACAAATTAAGCCTATCAGCCTGAAGCTGAAATACAGAACAAGACCACTTTCTCGAATCAAATTCCTTCATAGTTCTTATTTGGAGAAAACCGCATGCCTGTCCTCTGCCTGGAGAGCAAGGGCCTACCTTGTGTTCTAGGACCACTGTCTTGAAGAAATAGTTTTATCTACTCCAGGGTAGGGAGCACACCACAGGCTGAGCCACACACGATCAGTTCTTCACGTCAGTGGGCCCTGCCAGATAAAACTCTTCTCTGTGGAAAGGAAGGAACTGAGAGGTCAGAGGATTCCATTCTCCCGGACCATGTCTGAGATCAGACATCAAAGTCATGGGCCTTTTTTCAAAGTTTATGTGCTCAGGGCTCTCCTCTAGTGGGCTTATTTCAACTGATCCAGGGCAGCTCCTGAATATCCACTTTTCTTTTTAATTCCAAGAGTCTGCAGCAGCCTGCCCTTGCTTCCCAAGGGAAACCATTACAGAGGAGTGGCCGATTGAACCCAAACGGGTCAGCACAGTGCAGCACTGAACCATGGGAGAACTAAGGGAGACCACGGGACACGACAGTAGCACTAAATTTGGGTTCTGAACGATGGACACAACTCGGCCTGCACAAAGCTGTGAGCAGGCAGCGACTTTGTAACTCAGCAGTTCTAACCACGCAAGTCTGGTTATCTGCCTTGGGTGATCTTATTTATATTTGTCAAAGAATGAACAATCCAGATGTCTATTGAACAAATACATAAAATATTATATATTCATACAGCACGACCCTATTTGGCAGCAAAAAGGAATGTGTTACTGAGACATGCTACAGTGTGGAAGAAACTTGGAAACAATACTAGATGAAAAATACCCCCTGTATGGTCTATTGATTTATATGCGTAGAATGGGCAGATCTATAGTCAGGAAGCAGATTGGTGATTTTGCAGATTGGTAGTTTTCTTTTTTTTTTCTTTTTCTTTTGTTTTTTGTTTTTCAAGACAGGGTTTCTCTGTATAGCTTTGGAGCCTGTCCTGAAACTCGTTCTGTAGACCAGGCTGGCCTCGAACTCACAGAGATCCGCCTGCCTCCAGCCTCCTAGCAAGTGCTGGAATTAAAGGCCTGCGCCGCCACCACCCAACAAATTGGTGGTTTTCTAGAGTTGGGAGAAGGTGATGAATCTGTTAATGGATGTGAATTTCCTTTGAGGTGACAAAAAATATTTTAAGATTGAACGTAGTCTTGATGCAATTCTGAATAAACACTGTTAAATTGTAGGTGTTGGGTAAATGAATTGTATGCAATGTGAATTATAACGCACAACATTTTTACTACATTTATTTGATGAGGTGATGTGAATGTGGGTATGGGCATGGGCATGTACCATGGGACATGTGTGGAGGTCACAGGATCGCTTGTGTGAGTCAATTCTTTCCTCCTGTGTTGTGCAGGTGCTGGGGATTGAACTCAGATCATAGGCTTGGTGCTTTTACCTGCTAAGTCATCTCACTGTTTCTAAAACTTACTGTTTGTTTAAGTTGAGGGGAATTTCCGGTACAAACAGTTGGAAAGACTATGAGTGTCAGAGCATGTTGTGAGTGGGTCTGTGTAGCTGGGCCTTAATCTGGAAATAGCACGCACAGGATTCATGATGGCAGCCTCTGGGGAGCGTAGCTGCTGAATCTCATTTTAAGTTTCTGGCCTCAAAAACTGCCGTAAGTGTATATCATGTAAATGACTGACCCTGTGGTAAAGTACTGCAAGTATAGGAAATTACAATACACCACAACTAAATTAACATCCGTGGGGCTCTACATATTCCAGAAGCATTTCGTTTGTCTCCGAGGACTATTACGGCTCTCCTTTAGAATTGAAGCCAATATGAGTGTAACTACATCCTTCTACCCATGGGGACACCGTGAGCCACTTTCGGAGCAGAGGACATGCTACAGACATAGGGCTGGTTCCTCCAGTGAACACTGAGAGAAAAAAAAACACAGGGCGTATGCTATACAGGAAAAGATCATGTCAACCAAATGTAACCTTGGACCCTCCCAATTTTAAACAACCTATACAAAAGACAGTTTTGAGATTGTAAAAGTGATCCAGACTAATTATATGATAATTACATTTCTTAGTTTACCTGATACGTGGATTTGTTAATAGTACAAAGAACTTGTCTGTTAACAAGTCAACTTTTAAATATTTATGACCGTAACACTATAATGCCTGAGATTCACTTTAAAATTTCCCACCAAAGAAACAAAACACAAAGGCATAAGTGTAACAACAAAGGTAAAATATTATTTGTTAGAACCGTATAATGTTACATACAATCTCATCACTCTCATCTGTATTTGAAGTTGAAAAGTTATGAGAATTAATATTGACTGAAAATATTTTCTCTTATACTAAAATGTTAACGTGCCAAAGAGCCTCACGTTATGGTGAACGTTCAGGTAGGGACTGGATGTTGTGAGTCTGTCTAGCGAGTCGGCAGATGGTGACTTGGGAAAGCTGACATTCAGGTTTCTCATGTCGCATGTAGATATGTGCACAGCATGTACTTAATGGGCATGCGGCCGGTGCAGTTGCACTAGGCCGTGTTCAGAAGTGTCCCGCACTTAGCCACCTAAAAAGCAATTTCTATTTCATTTCAAACTGGGCCCCACAACTGATACAACCAGCCATACATATACATCTGTATGTGTGTATGTAAACAGGATAAATATATTTGATAGACATTTAAGTCCACATGTCTTTATGTATGTGTGCATTTGTTATGTATGGATATTTACTAGAAATGATGTCTTTGGTCTGAAGTAAGATTTCCTAGGTCTGTTTCTAGAGAAGCAACTAGGTAAAAATGTTTTGTTTTGTTTTGTTTTGTTTTCAAAACTGTGCCTGGAATCAGCAAGTGAGTCCTACTTTGCCCCACTGTTGCCTTGATTAAAAAGATACTTTTATTTCCTGGTTTTTGGAGACTGAGACCATATATCCTCAGAAGTAAATGAAAGATGCTTGGGGCTGGAGAGATGGCTCAGAGGTTAAGAGCACTGGCCGCTCTTCCAAAGGTCCTGAGTTCAATTCCCAGCAACCACATGGTGGCTCACAACCATCTGTAATGAGATCTGGTGCCCTCTTCTGGCCTGCAGGGATACTTGTAGGCAGAACACTGTATACATAATAAATAAATAAAACTTTAAAAAAAAAAAAGATACTAAGAGATAATATACGTGTTCCACAGTGTAAAAATATCAGTAAGTGAAGGGTAAAATGCTATATTCTCACTGGCCACATTATTTGGTATTCCTCTTAAATATAGCTTTATTCATTCAAACCAGATAATAGTAGTTTGTTTTTAAAGAGATTTCATCCCACCTAGAAAAACATTGAAAAATGTAAATAATATGTCAACCCCTATCCATCTTCACCTGTGTCTGCCAGTGGTTAACATCACAGGTACTGTCTTCCTCTGTCACTCCAGCGCCAGGGACCCTTTCGACCTCTGCTGTCACCGTGCTCACACACAAAGACATGGGTACACAAATAAAATAAACATTCCTTAAAAAGACTAGTTCCTCCAGTTGTGTGTGTGTGTGCGCGCGCATTAAATTGTCTTAAAGAAAACAAATTAGCCGGGCGGTGGTGGCGCACATCTTTAATCCCAGCACTCAGGAGGCAGAGCCAGGCGGATCTCTGTGAGTTTGAGGCCAGCCTGGGCTACAGAGTGAGTTCCAGGAAAGGCTCCAAAGCTACACAGAGAAACCCTGTCTCGAAAAACCAAAAAAAAAAAAAAAAAAAGAGAGAGAGAGAGAGAGAGAGAGAGAACAAATTATCTAATAGAGTAACCACATTCGGGGTTTGCCTAATAATTTCCTCATGATTGTTACTTTAGTTATAAATTTGGGATGAACCTCACCTTACCGCACTCGGCAAACATAGCAAATGCTTTTTATGAATACGTCAAGAAAAAGCTACATGCCCTTATAGAATACTTCCCTTACTGCTTCTCAGCCCCTGGGAAGCCTACATGTGGCTCACTTTAAAAACTAAAATGACATGACAGTTTGTAATGGTGATTCATTGCTCGAAAGTTTGAGTCAGGATTTCCAAGGATGCGGCATTTCCTGCTGCAGTTTGGGGCTGAAGTCTGCTATGCCCAGTGTTCCCTGTGTGCATTCTTTCCAGAGTTTGTACTCCGGCCCTCGCTCACCTTGCCCAGCTGTCCTCTCTACGCTTCCACGTCTTTCACGTTCCTGGAAGTCTCTTAAGTGGCATTTCCAAGCCCTCTGGTCTATGGGAAGTGATCTTGCCTGTCTAGATAGACAGTCTCCTGTTCCCAGCTACTGCCACCAACAGCATAGCCCTCTTTCTTCCAGACTTTGTTATAATAGAGAGTGTACTGAAAAGACTGAGAATCTTCCTTCTCAGCCACATAATCCCCTCCCCTCCTTAGCCAACCACTTGTTCATTTAGTATTGCTCCCTCCTCTAGCTACCTTTTCCATCTCACCGTATTATTGAGCATCCTAAAAAAACGTTTTTAATGATCTTGTTTATATGTTGTGGAATGTTATGCGAATGGTTTCCTTCGGTAAGCGTTTTTTAAGACTTTTGTCTACTTAAAATTACGCTGTTAATATACTGTCAGTACATTTCACTTTAGTTCATTCATTCTCCAATATATAAGTGAAGTTTTAAATCCATTCTCCTTTTGAAGGCATTATGGATGGTTCTTGTTGCTATGGCATCTGTAAACAATGTTAGCTACTTTTCTAGTCACTAAAATCCCAACAGATGGCAACCTGAAGGAGAAGAGATTTGACTCAATTTCGGATGATACTATCCTTCATGGCAGGAACGATTTGTCAGAAGCCTCAGTTCATGGTGGTGGAGGTGTGTCCAAGTCCCTGCTGGCTCGTGGCCATCTCATAATGCAAAAATACATTCAGTCCCACCTCGAAAATCCTCAGTTTTAATAGTCAACACCATTCAAAAGTCCAGAGTGCTTTGAGACACAAGGGAAACTCTGTAATGTGAGTCCCTACAAAATAAATATTACAGCATACAAAGACGCAAAATGAACATCCCCATTCTATCAAGTAAGTCTGGAAAAACAGCAAGGAAAGACTGGACCAATGCAAGACTAAATCCAAGCAGGGCAAACAAAGGCTGCATCTCAGTGTCCAGTATCTGGAATACACGGTGGCATCATCTGAGCTCCAGTTAGCTTCCTACAGCCGGGCTGCCTGAACCATTCATGGGCTTTCTCTTGAGCTGGCTCCCGTCAGTGACCACTGCGGTCTGGTCATCTCCAACATCCCCCGCTCTCCCTTACAATGTAGGTTTCACCTTCATCGCTCCACGCAACAGCCTCTCAGCTTTTCTTCAAGGAGTCTGACCACCCAATTCCATATTGTCCTCACAGGTTTGTGCTGGAACCATGGGACGAGCATCTCTGACCCTATGGCCCTCACGTTCTGCTTTCCTGCAAAGCATCATTATGGATGGTGCCAGGCCCTGCCGCCACCTTGTAATGTAAACGAGCCCCTCGGGCTGTGGCTGTAGCATTCTCCGAGTTCCCGCACAAAGACAGACAGACAGACTGCTCCTCTGGGTATTCCTGCTGGACCTTTTGAATGAGAGGCCTTCAGAGGGTTTTTCATTTTCACACTCCGTAGCCTTCCATGAGTGCAGTCCTGTTCCTATAATACCAACAGTGTAAAGTACACGGTTCCTCTTGAACACTTATTGCCGCCACGTTGGACCCTCCTTGTCTTTGAAGGCACTCGTTTTCCAAATCTCCATGGTGTTTCACATCTACCACTCCGCTTTCTTTCCTCATTCACCCTATAGCCCTGGCTACAAGCAGGAAATGGCCACCGTGCCCCAGCCTGAATGTCTTGAAATTTCTTCCACCAAACAAATGATTACTTTCGAGTTTTAACACAAATGTCCTCTATCTAGTCTAATTTCCCAACGGGTTCCTTTTCTCTGAAACCTAGATTCCCGCATTAAGTTTCACTTACAGCATTCTAGGACGTCCTTAGCCTGCAGCTCCAAACTCTTCCACATACCTCCCACAGAGCAGTTCTGAAAGCCTGAGGACCGCGTGGCAGGTGTATGGCCGCAAAACCCTGTTTCCGGTACCATTTCATCACCGTTCTCATCACAGTGACTAACTACCTGAGAGAAGCAACTTAAGGACAAAGAGATTTATTTGGACTCCCGTATTCAGAGTCTACAGTTCACGTGGTTCACATATACAGTAGCAGACATGTTGTTGGCAGAAGTGCTTGGAGAAGGGCGGGGATGTGATGAGAATGCAATACAATACGTGTATGGAATTGTCAAAGAATTTTTTAAAAATGTTTTTGAAGTACCAGCAACAAAAATGAAAAGAAAAGATGGGAGAGAGAGAGAAAAAAAACTTATGTGCAAGAAATTTTTCTTTAAGTTTCCTAAAAACTTAAGGAAAGAAAAGTACAACATCCACAATGCTCCTTCTCAGATATTAGGTAGCTAAAGGAAAACCACATATCAGAAGCGGAGCACTTTTTCAGGAAGGTCCTAATGCGTGTGTCTTTTCTTTTTCTCTGAGCTCTTCTTCCATTCAGCCAAGGTCATCAGAATTTCAGATGCATTAGGTCGTTCCCTGGGTTCCTTCGAGAGTAATTTCCTTAGAAGGCTTTTCTGTAATTACAGTTAAGAGTCAGTACTAAGAAAGAAAGCAGTGGAAAAAGAAAACAGATGACTTTCAAATGCTTACTTCTTTGTGGTCAAATGCATCATCAGGGAAGATGCCCTCTCTTAGCTTTTCGAAGAACTGAAATAAAACAAATGGATGTATTAACTAGGAAGCCATTTACATGGGAAGAAAAACTAAATACACTGATGGCTGGGGAATCACTAAATCTAGAATATTCCTTAAATTTAGGACTCTTTAGTCAAGGAGCAAGCAGAACTCCCCTCCCTAGACCTACCCCCATATTCTAACCACCTAGGAGTCAATGCTTTGAAGTGTTAAGTGCATGAGATCCATCATTTCCCTTCTGTTTTGGAATGCGAGGCAATACATCTTTTCATCATCCCTATTTTAGGGAAAAGAAGGCTGTGGACTCCAGGCAAGTCCCTTTCCTGAGCTTCCAACTAGGATATCCAGTAGTTCCCCATCATCTACCCACCTACATAACAAAGCCCAAGGTCTTGCCTCAGTGAAGTCTCAACCTTTCTTTCCAGCCACACCAATCATCAGCTTCAGATAAAACCACATTGCCTGCTATTCCCAACTATTCCCAACACATATTTCCCATTTGTATCTCCATGCTGGGGGTTGCATGCTTTCTATTTCGGACTATTAGAATGAACCATCCCAGGTTAATTGTCTTCTGACCTCCGTAAGCATGCAATAGCATGTGTGTGTGTGTGTGTGTGTGTTTGTGTACGCACGCTCGCGTACGCACGCACCCTTAAATAAACAATCTAAAAAAACACCTGACCCGCCGGGCGGTGGTGGCGCACGCCTTTAATCCCAGCACTCGGGAGGCAGAGGCGGGCGGATCTCTGTGAGTTCGAGGCCAGCCTGGACTACCAAGTGAGTCCCAGGAAAGGCGCAAAGCTACACAGAGAAACCCTGTCTCGAAAAACCAAAAAAAAAAAAAAAAACACCTGACCCTTCAGTACCCAACTTACATGTTTCCATGAGACCTAAATCCAGACTTCTATAGAAATCTTTTAGCTGCTTCCACAGACTGACTTCTAAAACACTTAGTCATTCTTGGTTGCTCTCCTTCTTAGAAAATGAATCCCTTGAGAAACTGGCCTATTTTTATATCATTGTAGCACTTAGAGCAGAAACTGCCCTCTAATCAGTGAAACATCGTTGGCATCCTCAAATAGAAATCTTACGGGATATATACATATTCTGTAGAAAACCAAAGCTTTTCATCTATAGCAAAACGGTTGTCAACACTTGAAAGAGAATATATATGTTTCACTTAGAACCAGAAGTAATGTGGTCCAACACACCCTCCCCAGACGGCAATCCTAGCAGAGCTCGAAGGACGTACTTCTTTCTGGGGATATTTACCTCTGTTTTCTCAAAAGAAGTGTAGCAAATGTGAAGAAGTTCAGCTAGAATAAGTCCTAAAGCAAAGATGTCCACTTCTTTTCCATATTCCAGTAAAGACATCTGGAAGCCAAAATACATTTGTCTTTGTTACTCACCTAATATAAATCTCTATGCCTTTTGAGGAAAAAATAGCTATAAATTATAGATTACATTAAAATGTCTGTTAAATCTGTAGCTCATGAAGTTGACCAACAAGATTAACCATCACATAGAAATAGAAGGTTTCGTATAATATTACAGGGCAGCCTTAATGTTACACTTCCCCGGGGCCCAGAATAGACACTACTAACAGCATGGGAATGAATCAAGATACACGGAGCTCTTTCATCCCACTTGTTTATTTGTCTACCACCATCATTCTGCCTCTGGCTCTCTCAGACTGGTCTCTATCTTTCCCAAGACAGCAACACCTTCATGTTTACAGTACAACATGAGAATTGCAAGGTCCCCACCAGAAGCTTCTTGGCAGCGCCATTTACAACCCAAAAAGGGGAAGAGAATAAAGGCGCCCTTAAATAGGAGCTGGAATAAATCAGAGAAGGAATTTATGTGCTAGGAATATATCCTTACTGTGGTTAGGTGAAAACATTGATTCTATCCTAAATGTGCTCAAACTATAAACTTACAGGTGATAGGGTAAAGAAATCTATAAGTCACTAAAAATGAAACTGCCACTGTTTTTCTCTGCTGCCAGTGTCCTGACAGGGCGGGGGAGGAGTACTGATATAGTCAAGCTGCATCACAGCTGGAAGCACCAGGTGAGAGGAAACCCCTTTGATCTAAGAAGTTGCTCTGGGGCAGTGAACTTGATTTGCACAATAAACAAAGCTATGTATCGAGTAGCCTGCTTATCTCCTAGACCTGGGAGGAGGGTGGGGAGGAGTGTGTGTGGGGGTTATATCTAGAGGTTCAGCTTCTGAGAAGCTTAGCAGTTTGCCAAATGGTCTATAGTATTTGGGCACGCAAAGATTTCATAGCAGAAGACAGCTGAACTATTAAAAGCTGGATAACACCAACTATTTCATAATAAATGGCTTGCCTTTTGACAGACCCTTGGCCAGTCAAAGTATAGCTTTAATGCACCACTGAATCTCTGTGATATATTCTTGCGACCCACAAGAAGAAGGAACACAATAAAGGTTAGTTAAAACAAATCTTCAGCCATTTTTTTTTTTTTTTTTTTACTAAATGGTAAAACTGAGAGCATTCCCACCATAATTAAGAATGAGACAATGGGATGTACTTTCTCCACCCATATTCAATATAGTTCTTGAATTCTTAGCTAGACAAGAGAAAGATATAAAAGAATTCAAATAAGAAAAGAAGCCAAATCCCCATTTGTAGACAGTACAATCCTGTACATAAGAGATTCTAAAGATTTGACCAAAAACATAACTAGATACAAAGTCAAAATTCAAAAGTTTAGGGGCTGGAGAGATGGCTCTGGTGTTGCAAGTACTCTCTTCATTAGCAAAGAAACTGAGTTCAATTCCCAGCACCTATATGGTGATTCGTAGCTGTCCATGACTCCAGTTCCAGGGGATCTGACATGCTCTTCTGGACTCTACCTATAATAGGCATGCTTATGGTACACATATATACATACATACAAGAAAACTCATACACATGAAATAAATCTTTTTTTTTTTAAAGGAAATCAGTAGGTTTTCTATGTTCTAATAATGAATGTGCTAAGAGAATCAATCAATCTTATTGAGGATAGCTTCAAAACATTACCTATGCTGGGTGTGGTGGTACATACCTTTGATCCCAGCACTTGGGGGGCAGAGGCAGGAGGATATCTAAGTTTGAGGTCAGCCTTGTCTACAGAATAAGTTCCAGGGCAGCCAGGGCTACACAGGGAAACCCAGACCTCATATGCTGATGAATCAGTAGAATTAACATTGAAAATACTATTGTACTAAAAGTGATCTACAAATTCACTGTAATCCCCATCAAAATTCCAATAACATACTTAGCAGAAAGAAAAAAAAAATCTTGAAATTCATCTGGAAAAATAAAAGATCCCAGAGAGCCAAAAAAAAAATCCTTACCAAAAAGAACATCACTGGAGAATCACTATATTTGATTTTGTTTTTTGATTTGGGGAGGTGTTTGTTAGGATTCTGCCCTTACTCCAGCTGCATGACTGCACATTCGTAGTTCAGGAGCTAAGCAAGGGGTCTTGCATCTCACGTCATCAGTGTGCGCTGATGATTACATGCAAACAGTGTGGTCACACAATGTGCGCGTGCATGGTGTAGCTCCGTGAGCCCACCTGTGCATGTTCACAGGAGTCCTTAAAAAGCTGGACACAGGAGACGGGTCCGGCAGCTGTGGCCTACAGGGACATACAGGCCCAGCGGCGGCCTGCAGAGGTAGACGAGCCCAGCAGCAGCGACAAGCAGAGGTAGGGACGCCTCTAACCCCAACACCCAGGGAAGAAGCTATCTCCATGGGACGGAACCAGAATGAATCTGAACACTGCATCTGAGGACAACCCAGGGCCCAGCTACTGATCCTGCAAAACCCAACAACTTGGAGCTGTTGGTGAGACTACCCCGCTCAGCTGAAATCCACCCGGGAGAGGATTCAGATCCCTACTGTTTGAAGTCTGAAGAAACAAGATCAGCTGAGGAGTTGACGAATGAACAAAACGTGACCTGGGAACACAGAAGAAGGCCCTGCCCAGCCACCAAACCAGATCACCAGAATCATAAGTATATACTTCACCGACTGAGATCAGCTGCCCCTGAAGAAACAGCCCAATAGCACTAATTTAACCAAGAACTCCTACTGAACCAAGACTAAAAATTAGAACAAGAGAGGCACTCTCAGACACAGATACCACCTGCACCGAGCAGAGGAAGAGATGAGTAGACACCAGTGCAAAAATACAGGCAACAACATAAAGACTTATATGGCAACATCAGAACCTAGTGATTCTACACCTGCAAGACCTGAACATACCAAGACAGAAGAAACAGAA